CAGTAGTGCTTCCTGAGGGGGCCACTGTGGGGTGACATTGTCCCATCAGAGCAGTGGCAGGTCCTTGGGGCTGAGTGTGGGTGGGGGTCGCAGGGCCCCAAATGGGGTGTGGCTGGGTGACTGGAGCTCCATAAAGGGAGGCAGTGTCTGACTCATTGGCGTCAAGGAAGTGACAAAACTCTGTCCTCCCTGACATCACCCTGTAGCCCATGCAGCTTCCCACCTTCCGTGGCACGACAAAATTCCGTGGCCTCTTTGTGGACCTTGACTTCCAGCCCCTGCTGGCCACTCAGTCCTGGAGTCCTGCATCCTCTGGCTGCTGTGGATCTAGCTTCTGCTCACCCCCGGAGTCCTGTCCTCCACGCTGCTCCATGCTACGTACCACCCCCTCGGCCAAAACGCAGCCTTCGATACCCTCCGGATGTGGAGAAAACTCACACCCCCGTCTTTGCCCAGACCTCTGTCCTGAGCCAGGGCACTGCCTGCCTAAATCTCCCCTGTGGCTCCCCACCGGGTTAAGAATCAAGTTAGAGCACCAGACCCCTGGTCCCCACTGTCTTTGCAATCAGATTCGAGCCCTGGCCTGCCCCTCTGGGTTCATTTTGAATCTTTTTATGCATCCTTCTAGCCAAACCCACCCGTCCTGCCCCTGAATGGTCTTTACTTTCTTAAGTGCCTTTGAACATGCTTTCTCCTGACCTGGAACATGCTCTCTGCCCTCCTAGCCTCACTAGTTCTGGCTCAGCTCCAGCACCCTCTCCTCTAAGAAGCCTCCCCTGACCTCTCAGGTTGGGTCTGCTGCATCCTCTGTGCCAACTGTGGCTCCTTGTAACTAACCATAGGGCAGCGGGTTGGAGGGAAGGAAAAGCCTTGACAGTGGCCTTGAGACTGAAGCTGCTCAGGTCTGGAGTTCCTGCGAAAGATCTGGGCTGGAGACAGACAAGAGGCAATGATTTGCTCATCCGAGAACTGCAGTCAAGGTTGTCACAGGAGACTAGGTAGAAGGCAGCAGGAGAACTGGGGACAGACCCCGGGGAACTCCAGAATTACAGGGCTGCACGGAAGAACAGAACCCTACGGAGACCGAGAAGTGGAAGATGGGGAGGGAGGGGGAGAAGCAGGAGGCGGGGAGAAAGATGGAGCCCAATGGACTACTGCCAGCATTCACGCTCTGGTACTGTCCCCTCCCCTTGAATCTGGGCTGGCCCTGTGACTATTTTTTTTTTAAAGATTTTATTTATTTATTTGACAGAGAGAGCACAAGCAGGGGGAGCAGGAGAAGGAGAAGTAGACTCCCTGCTGAGCAGGGAGCCCAAGGCGGAATTCGATCCCAGAATTCTGGGATCATGACCTAAGCAGAAGGCAGCCACTTAACCGACTGAGCCATGCAGGCACCCCTCTATGATTTGTTTTTGGCTAATGTGATAGAAGTGATACCAGAACACTTCCAAGCCTCAGTTGTAAGAAGTTTGTAAGTTGCATCCGGGTCTCTTGAAACTCTCTTTTAGGAAAGTCAACTACCGTGTAAGAAATCAGACGGCAGACTGCCCCCGAGGCTGCCATGCTGTGAGGAAGCCCAAGTTAGGCACGTGAAGTGGCCACATGGAGAAAGGGCGAGAGCTGTCAAGTGCCCCCCTACCCCACCAACTGTCCCAGCCACCCAGCTGAGGCTGTAGACCTATGAGGGAAAAAGCCATCTTGGATGTCCCACCCAAAGGAGACTTCAAATGACTCCAGCCCAGCCACCACTGGACACAGCTGCAAAAAAGACACCATGACAACTGCCCAGTTGAGCCCAGTCCATCCACAGGACCACAAGTGATCATAAAAAAGCTTGTTCTAAGCCATGAAGTCTATAGTAACTGGTTAAAGCACAATAGATCATTGAAACAGTGGGTAATTTAGTACCGGAACAGCCCTCCGAGGTAGACATTATTGTCCCCATTTAACAGATGGGGAAACAAAGCCCAGAGAGGGATGTGACTCAGTGAGGTTTGTGCAGCCTGCCGGAGGCAGCAGTTGGGGCTCGAAGGGCGGGTTTGTCTAGTACCTCTGCCTCTGCCCTTCCTGCAGCACGTGCCCGGCTGCCGGAGACCACACCTGCAGCCCCACCACATGGTTTGGCCCAAATCCCCTGTGTGACAGGTCACTGGGGTTTTTTCCACTGAGACATGAGTCACACACAGTCAAATGCATGAACTGTTACACATACAGCAGGGGACACTTTACATGCATCTATGCCCCTGTGACCACCACCCAGATCTAGAACATTCCTGGCACCCCAGAAACGTCCCTTGTGCTCACTGCCAGCCCATGTCCTCCCCTGCCTGGGCCCAGAGGTCCCCACTGTTCTGATGCCCATCACCACAGTGACCGTTTTGCCCATTCTTGAATTTCACACAAATGCAATCGGACAGCACGTGCTCCTTTGTGTCTGGCTTCTTCTCCTCAACATGATCTGGAAGATTCATCCCCGTATTTTGGGTTCTTTTCTATTACCATGTAGCATCCTGAGGGAGGACTATCCCACAGCCTACTCATTCATTCGGATGTTTGCCTGGTTCTCCAACCTGGGCTACCGCGAAGCTGATAGGAGTATCATTGTACGAGTCGCTTCGCAGACTCAAGTGCTCTTCTCTCGGGGGCATCTGTGGGGGCAGAAATTCCAGGTCATGGGATGGGTGGATGTCTGCGACCCTTCCTGAAGGGACCGCCAGGCTCCCACAGCCGTCAGACCACCCCCACGGGCAGTGCAGGAGAATTCTGGTTTTCCACACCCTCGCTGACGCTCCGTATGGTTGGGCCCTTGTCGTTGCTCTAGTGGAGGGACTGCTGGGCCACTGTTTTTAAATGACTGAGGTGGAACACCTTTCCCCATGTTGGTCTGATGTTTTAGCTTGTCCCGGCCACGGAGGAGCGGGTGGGTGGGAGGTGCTCACCGAGGGGGATGTGGTCACAGCCCAGGAGGTGCGGGGGAGCGGGAGGCGCGAGTGGGGCTGAGGCAGAGGATGGAAGCCGAAGTATGTCAGGAGGGCTGGTGGGAGGCAACAGAGCATGGCAAGGATGGGCAGGGCTCTGGGGTCAACTGTGTGGATCCTGGGGCGGCCAGTGGCAGATATTCCCTCTCCGAGTGGCTCAGGGATGCTCCTTCTCTCATCAAGAGAGGGGGCATTGCCAAGCCCGGGTGACTTGAAGGTTCAAGGTCCCGGTCCTTCCTTCCTTCTACTTGACTTTTTTTTTTTTTTTTTTAAGATTTGAGAGAGTTCAAGAGCATGGGTGAGTGGGGGTAGAGCCAGGAGAGGGAGAGAGAGTTGTAAGCAGACTCTCACCCTGAGTGCAGAGCCCGATGCAGGGCTCAGTATCATGACCTGCGCCGAAATCAAGTTGGACGCTCAAATGACCGAGCCCCCCACGCGCCCCTCTACTTGGCCATTTTTAGCATATCAACAAGGCAGAATGGTAGCAATATGGGAACTTCACCCAAAACCGTCCAAAGGCTGGGAGAGAGAGACTCCCTTTCTTGTAAGAGCAAGGAACATTTCCCAGATGACCCCCTCCAGCCCTCCACCCCCACTCAAGGCTTCCCCCAGCATCTCAGTGACTGGAACCACCCCGCAGGCCCATTCATAAACTCATCACTGGCCGGGGGAGGGGTACATTTTCCCCATAGCCTACACAGTTGCTCCCCCGCGAGTCTTCCCCTGAACACTCCGGGGATGTTCATAGGGCACTTGCTCATGCTGTTCCCCCGCTTGAAATGCTCTTCCGGATTTTTCTATCTAGAAAAGAACTATCTTAAAGTCATCTCCTGAAGCCCTCTTCTATCCCCAGCTTGGGTCGGGGTCTTCTTGGGGTGCCTACAGCCTCTCGGACCCCACAGAGTGTGGGCCCCAACCTGTGTCTGTGGCCTTGGTGGTGGCAAGGCCAGTCCTTGATCAGCTCCCCCAGGGCCCAGCCTGGACTACCAGGAAAGGCAGTGAGGGGCAGGCAAGGCCGGGTCACTCATCATCCCATCTTGGCCACAGCCCTGTAGATCGCACCACCTCGCCTGGGCTTGCCGGGGCTCACAACCGCGGCCAAGGTTCCGCAGCAGCACAGCTGGCAGCCCTGGGAGGAGGCTTCCAGCCTGGTGGGCCTGGGGCAGCCACGTCCACCAACCCCCCAACCTTGCCCGGGGCTGGCCGTGACCTCTGAGCACAGCCTCAATATAGGACTTGGGCCCGAAAGGCACCCATCTGACGGGGAAGCAAATGAAGGCTTAGAGAGGGGGTGTGGCTTGCCCATCAGGGACAAAGCTGCTTGGTGGGTTCCCGACCTCTCTCTGAGGCCTGGGCCTTCTCAGACATAGAGACGCACATGAATCGCTGCGGGGTCCAGACCTGGTATTTCTAACCGGCTCCCCGGTGACCTGGCTGTGACTGGTGGTCCACGTGGAGAGGACAAACTCGATTCTCGCCTCCGCCCTGGGAGCTCCCACGCCTCCCTTCAGGAAGGGTGGAGTGCTGGGGGCGCGTGGGTGGTGAGGCCCCCACCTTCATAACCCAGCCTGGACACCAGAGCTGCGGGAACATTTTATTAAGTTAAGAAGGCTCATGGAGCAGGAGAGAAGCCTTCATGGGGTGGCTCGGGCAGTTCCCTGTCCAGCACCACCCCGCCCCCCGGGCGAGGAGATGAGAACTTAGGGACAGCTGCCGGCTCCCTCTGCCCGTCTGTCCCTCTGTCCAGAGTCCCACGGTGTGGGGCGCCTCAGGGCAGGAAGTAGTTAGTGGGAGGTAGGGTAGGAAGAGGGCAGCTGGCTCCCTGCCTCTCCCACCAGAGTCCACCCTGCCACGACTGCTGCTGGGCGTCTGCTAGACCCTAGGGCAGGCCCGCAGGCCCAGAAGCCCGGGCAGGCAGCTAGAGCCGGAGGGCGGGCCAGCAATGGAGGCACATGGCCTTCAGGAATTGCTTTTCTCAAAAGTATAACGTGTTTTGGGGGAAAAAAAAAAAAAGGGAAAAAAATCTATATAACAATCTCTTCACATATAAAATCCTGAAGAAGGTGCAAGGTAAGACCCAGTGCGAGGGGCGCGCTCAGATACGCAGAGTGTGTGTGTATGTGTGTGTGCGTGTGTGTGTGTGTGTGTGTGTGTGTGTGTGTGTGGTGGGTATGAGTGCATGTGCAGCCCACAGAGGGTGGTGAGAAAGCTTGGCTTCTGACTTCCATCCAGCAGGAAGGAGAGCGAATGACTAGTCCCCTCAGGCCGGGGGAGGGTCTGCTGGTGCAGCTGGGCCACCAGGACCTGGAAGACAAGAGTTGGGGAGCTGCAGGCTCAGGCCAAGCACGGTGGCCCGGAAAGCTGGGCCAGACCCGCTCCTGCTCCTCTGGGCTTCTCCCTCCCGAGCCTGGCCCCCAGGGCAGCCTCTCCCGACTGCCTCAGGAAGTCCACAGGGGTCGATCTGAAAGCAGAAGCCCCGGTGGCAGATGTGGCATCAGGAGAGGCAGCGTAAGAAAGCTCTGAAGCCTGGGACATCAATGATGGCCATGAGACTAAGTCTCTGGGGGGGCCCAGCCCCGACTGTGACATCAGTGGCGTGGAACTCGGTGGAAGGAATGCCGTCATTGATCGGTGACACGGGCCATGCCGCCAGCTTGGAAGGTGGGGCCGGCAAGCCGAATTTGCTGGGGTCCCCAGGGGGGCCCTGACAAGGGATACGGGCTCAGCAGGCTGCAGGCGGGGTACCGCGCTAAGTGCCTGCTGTGGTGGGGGGGGCACATGGCCATGATCGGGCCCCTGGAACTGCCCCCCTCTTAAGAACATGCCCAGGTCCACGTCCCCCCGGCCCCCTGCGGCTAGTGCCACCGTCCCCACTTACAGAGCGGGAAACTGAGGCCACAGCAAGGGAGAGTCCCAGGGGAGGTGGCGCCACGAGTCAGGTGTGGGTGAGCCTTGAGCTCCCCACTCCGGGCCCAGTGCCCCACCATGCCTCCCCCAGCTCGGCGCAGCCTCACCCCTCCTCTCCCCTCCCCTTAGCACTCACCTCTACTCAGCCAGGCTGTTGCGCATGGACTCCTTCTCCTGCAGCGCGGCTGTGGCAAGGCGCAGGTGCTCCTTCAGCTGCTCAATCTCCCGCTCCGACCGCGTCTTGATGTGGTTCAGCTCCACATACACATCCTGGTACTTCCCCGAGGTGAAGCGCTTGTCCTGGGAGGGTGTCCAAGGGCCGTGAGGGCGCGGAGGCCCCTTTCCTGGCCCTGCCTACCGGGCCCACGCCCACCGTGCCCCTGCTGGCCAGGCTCCTCCATGCCCTGGTGGCCCGGTCCCTCCAGATGCTCCCTTGGCAGCCCCCCGGCCCGGGTGCACCCTCCTGGCATGGCCCAGGGACGGCGTCCAGCATCACTGTCGTCCCCCAAGATGGGAGCTGAGGCTTAGGGAGGGGAAGCTTTTGTCTAAGACCACACAGCAATGAGTGGCCAAGGTGTGAACCTGGTCAGCCTGGCCCGGGGCTGGGGCCCTTTCTGTGAGTGTGACTCACACATCCTCCCAGAGCCACCAACACCCGGGGGTGCCAAACCCACAGGGACACAGCCCTGGGCGGGCTGCAGTCTCATAACCCTGGGCCCAAATCCTGGCCCTTCCCACTGCCCGCCGCATGGCTCACTCCTCACTGGAGTGTGGACGCCCCTGCATGGGGCCTTGGGTCTTTTTCATTTACAGCTGTCTCCCCAGCACCGAGCACGGTGCCCAGCTCACAGTAGGTGCTCAATTAAGTGTCTGCTGACTAAATAAAGCCAAGTGTGGCCATGGGCAAGTTGCTTACCCTCTATTAGCCTCAGTGTCTTTGTCTATAAATAGGGACAAGGACACATATAAATAGGGACAAGGACACTTGGAGAGCCATGAATGAGAGGGGAGAAGGCCGGCTGGCAGAGTGGGTGCTCTCGGGATGGGGCACTGAGGTGGGTCCGGAGGGCTCCTGTCCACCAGCTCTGAGTCAGACCCTACCTTCTGGAGCATCTGCAGCTCATCCCGGAGACACTGTACCTCCTTCTTCAGGTACTGGAGCTCGTTCTCCTTCACTCGCAGCAACACCTAGGGTCATGGGGACCGGGCTGACCCAAGGCCACAGCACCCTGAGGGCTGGCTTCTCTCTGCTTCAGGCCCCCAGAATGTAACTCCCAACCTGCACCAAGACGCACCACACCCCAGGGCCAGGCTCCTCTAGGAAGCCCTCTCTGATTTCTCCTTGCTGTCTCACCTCTGTCCATACTGGCAAGTGGGTGTCTCATGATCACTTCTGCTGCTGTCCTAACACAGTACCCCGCCCTCAACTTGAGAGCAAAGAGGGTGACCATAGTGTAGCCCCCCAGGGAGCCAAAGAGGGCAGGCCTCCCTATGAAATACTTCATTAACCCCTCCCCAAACCCCAAGGGGCAGGGATTGCTATTCTGACTTGACCAAATCAGAGACAGGTTTGGCCGGGACTGGGGAGGCTTAAAAGCTTTGATGCCGAAGCCAGACTGCCAGGTTCAAATCCCAACTCCTGCCGTGACTAGCCACGAGAGATCCGGCAAGGCACTTGACCTCCCTACGTCTCAGTGCCCTCATCTGTAAACAGGGACGGTGATAATATCTACCTTGTATGACTGTCACAGAGATTCAATGAGTTAACAGATATGAAGGCCTTCAAGATGTTCCAGACACAGAGTAAAGCCATAAATAAATTTTCATAAAATAAAGTAAAATAAAATAAAATACTAGGGGATCCTGGGATCACACACATTTTCTCACTCCAGCTTCTCCCAGTAAGGGGGATGCTAGCCTCCTTTAACAGATGAGCTCCTGGGGCTCAGATTGGTGGGGTGACTTGTCCTGGCCACCCAGCAGCTAGGTGGCTCCTGGGGCTCTGACTGGTGGGGTGACTTGCCCTGGCCACCCAGCAGCTAGGTGGCAGGCCCTGGATGGCAGGGCTGGACTCTGGCAGCAGGGTTTTGTCATAGGTGGCCGTCCCAGCTGCAGTGGCTTCTCCTCCCTGGGGCCTGGGCCGGCGGGGCCATGCCATTCCCTGCTGCGGGGCACAGCCAGCCTGTCGGGGTGTTGAGAAGCAGCCAGGCCGCCTGGTACGGGGGTAGGCTTACCTCCAGCTCACAAGAGCTCCGCTCGCTGCCTCGCCCGCAGCCGTCCCCGGTGCCCTGCGAGGCAATGAAGCTGCGCAGCCGGTCAATTTCCTCTGACAGGCGGGCGTGCAGCTCCTGGGAGGCACGGGCGGTCAGCGCAGGGAGGATGGCCACCGCACCCCCCATCACGGGCCGGGCTCACCTGGTTATGGCGCAGCAGCTCCTGGCCCTCCTGCTGGCAGCGTCGCAGGGTGTGCTCCCGCTCCTCAGCCTGCCGAGTCAGGGCCCCGATCTCCAGGCACTTCTGCGAATACTGCTCCGACAGCACCTGCAGCTCCCGCTTCAGCGCCGCCACGTCGGACCTGTCCCGGGGGCAGAGGAGGGCACGGATGGCGTGGAACTCGGTTTAGGAGAGACGCAAAGCAGCTCCAGACTTCACGTTCCCTCTCTGGTTTTGCCTTCAGCCTGCTGCGGGGCTGGGAACTGGTGACAGGCTCCTTGGGCTGCAGGTGCCCCCTCCATGAGGTAGGGGTTAAACCTCAAAGGCTTCTGCAGCCCTAACATTCCAGAACCATCCTCTGCGGTGGGGACACCTACTGGCCGAGGGTGGTACTGCAGCCCAGCTCTAGGTGACACGAACCAGAAGCCGCAGAGGCTGAGACCAGCTGGACACGAAGGGGCCTAACGAGGGGGCCTAAGGAACTATCTCGGGGCACTGGCATAGGGGTCTGGCTGAGGGCCCCCTGCCACTGTTCCCTGTGCCAGGTGACGGGATCGGGAGTCTCAGCTGGGAGCAAAATGCCATGTCCTCTGTCAAGGGACCTCGGCACAGGTTCCTGCCTCGACACCAGGGTGGGCAGCCCCTAGCTCAGAACGAGGACCAGCCCGCAGACCCCGGAGTCCGGTGCCATCTTACTGGTGCTGCTTGCGAAGGCCATCGGGGCCCTGCTGGAGACTCCGTGTCTTGCTCAGTTCCCGGCTTAGCTCCTCCTGGTAGGCCTTCTTCATGGCTTCGATGGCTAGAATCAGGGCAAGGGCACGGGGGAGCTTGGGGAGGGGTCAGCAGCAGTAAGCTCCACCTCCTCCAAGCCCCCACACGGACCATGCAGACAGGGCCAAAGAGCACTGAGCCGGCCTGCATCAGGCACTGAGTGGCTTTGGGGAAGTTGTTTGACCTCTCTGAACCTGTCTATCGAGGGAGGATACCAATCACGGTCTGTTGGGATGGGACAGCCCTGGGGAGACACCTCAGTATCTGACCACTGGAACCTCTTGTCACTGACGTCCTGGTGGGATCCCACACAGCCCACCAGCCCTGCAGAGCCTGGGCCGAGCTCTCTGGCCCAGCCTGATGATCATACTCAACACAAGGACTGCAGCTGCTACAAATGCGTGTAACCTTTCACAGGGGACTTAACCCCCCCGTGCCTCGGGTCCTTTGTTGGAAAACGGGGAGAACAACAGCACCTTCTCTTGTGGGTTACTGGAAGCTGTGCAGAGAGCATTTAGAACAACGCCTGGCCCAGAGTAGATGAAGAGAGAGCTCCCGCTGGCTTTTTTCCAGACTGCCAGCAACCAAGGACCAAGTGTTTTCACACTCACACAGGGTGGTTGGGAGGATTAAACAAGCCCTCATCCATAATCTTATCCATAATTCTAAAATCCAAAGGCTCAGAACACTGGAAGTTTTTCATAACTCTTTCGGTGGCAAACCCTGACCTGAACAGACGCAAGGCCATCTGTGGTCATTCGCAGCCCACTTAAGCAGGACTCTGAGAAGTTTCTTGGTGAAACCTTTGCACTAGATTTCACAGAAGAGCCCAGACTCTGCTGGGAAGGATATCTCATGGTTGTACTAGGTTATCTCCCTAAAATGCAGAAGGCACTGGCTCCAGGGTTTGGGATGAGGGGCCGTGGGCCTGAGTGCATGAAGCACGTGGCTCAGTGCTGGCAGGTGGAAAGTTCTAGATCAAGGGACTTCTCTCATCACTGCCGTGATTCTGGAAACCCCACGGGAGTTCCTCGGATGTGCCAGACCCACACGGGAGGTATGCAGGGAACACAGGGAGGGAGGGAGATGTTCAACATCTCGGGCGTTCCTGTTTCTGGCTTGGGAGAGCAGAGGGTGGGGTTCAAGGCCCGGCTCTGCAGTCAGGGTGCTCTGAGCTCTAACTCTCGCTCTTCCATCTCCAAGCTGTGCCGTCTGGGACAAGTCACTAACCTCTCTGAGCCCCCGTTTCCTCATCTGTGAAATGGGGTCCCTCCGTCAGGCACCGCAAAGAGCTAGGGGTGTTTGCATGGGGAACGTGGCTTAGCAACAGCTCACAGCTTTGCTCCTGCCCTCCCCAGGTTCCAGCCCGCCCCACTCCCCCGGCCACAACTGAGCAGTCTGTGCCCCAGCAAATGGTGCGCACCTGGGCATGGAGTTGGCGCCCAGTGTGGGCATTCACCTTAGGGTGAGATCCCCAGTGGCTGCAGGCCCCTGAGGGAGAGGAGCTACAACCCAGGAGGACGTGGGGCTTCAGGGAGGCTGCTGCCTCGGTTTCCCCTTCTCATGTAGAAGCAGAGGCCAGTTCTGGGGGCTCCACCCCCCCAGGCCCCAAGTTTGGCACTAGACTCCCTCCACCTTATTTAAAGTGCTCCCCGATTTCAGCGTGGACCCGCAGCTGGTGAGAGGGTGAGAGGTGAGAGGGTCCTCACCTGAGGCCGTGGCCGCGGTCTCCTCGGCCAGGAGCCACTCCTTCTCCTGCTGCAGCCGCTGTAGCTCGCGCTCGTGATGCCGCTGCAGCTCCGCCATGACCTGCTGGTGCGAGGCCTCCATCTCGGCCAGACCGCGCTCGCACGCTTCCTGCGGGCGGGAGTCCAGCTGGGTCCCAGGGCTGCCCCCGCTGCCAGGATGGTGGCCGTTCCCCAGCCTCAGGGTCACACCCGCCCCGGGCCAGTCCTCGCCATCTCTCCGCTCTGGAGCCGGGCCCCACCTACCACACCTGCCCCTGCTCCAAGAATCCACAAACCTCACCCCGTCACTCTCCTCCCAGCCCTTTGGGGGCTCCTGTCCCACGGGGTCAAATCCCCGCTCCTGTGTCTGACCCTCGTGGCCTCAGGCCGGGCCTTTCCCCACCAAGGAACTCCAGTTAGGAGAAATCACTGGTGGCACGATCACAGCTCTGAGCTTTGGCTAAGGCTAAGCCCTCTGCCTGGAACGTTCTTCTGCAACTTTCTCTTCCAGGGTAATGGGCTTGGCCTGCAGTCCGGCTTAATGTCCTCCCTGCTCTATCTCTGGACAGCCTCTGCCCTGGCTCCGCCAGACTATACATTCTCCAAACACAAGGAAGACCTGATTCAGCTCAGAGCCCCCCAGGGTCTAGACCAGAGCCTAGCAGGTGGCAGGTGCTGAGTGAGCGGACACTGATGACATCACAGAACAGGGCCTGTAGACAAGGCCGGCAAGTGTTTAAAAAACTGATGCACACACTGCTTCGGAGAGTCACCTGTGACGGGTGCGTGGGGGGGCAGTTGGGTGTTGTCACCACATTTTTAGTAACCCCCCGCTGACTGCAAAGAAGTCACATGTGTGGGGCGCCTGGGTGGCTCAGCGGGTTAAAGCCTCTGCCTTCGGCTCAGGTCATGATCTCAGGGTCCTGGGATCGAGCCCCGCATCGGGCTCTCTGCTCAGCGGGGAGCCTGCTTCTCCCTCTCTCTCTGCCTGCCTCTCTGCCTACTTGTGATGTCTCTCTCTGTCAAATAAATAAATAAAAACTTAAAAAAAAAAAAAAAAGTCACATGTGTACAAAGCTTCTCAGACAGGGGTATTCCCTACGGGAAGGTTGGTAAGAGATGAAAACCAGAAACAACACCTAGCAAGGGAGCCCTTAAATAAATGATGGGATCAAACCCTACAAAGGCCTCTGGGCAGATGGGGAAGGGCAGAGCTGCCCACGTGGACGGCTGTGGAAAGGTGTCTCAAAAGTTAGGTGACTCAAGCTTGTCTCTGACAACACGTACTGTGTGATCCCATTAGCCGAAACAACACAGAGGCACACATCCCAGTCCACACATGTCAAACACAGCAGAAGGTATGCCGGACGCCGTGGGGGTAGAGTAGGGGTGCCCAGGGATGCCCACGTCCTACTCCCTAGAACCTCTGAATGTGTCACCTTATGTGGAAGCCGGGAGCTGAGGTTGCTAATCAGCTGACCTTAAAATAGGGAGACCATCATGGATTAATCCCTGGGCCAGAGTCGTCACAGGGCCTCGGATGCGGAAATGGAGGCAGGAGGGCAGAGAGGGAAAAGTGACCATGCAAGGTCAATGATGGGAAGTAAAGGCACCTGACTCTCCATTGCGGGCTTTGTAGATGGGACCAGGAGCCCAGGAATGCAGGGGGTCAGAAGCTGCAGGTCCCACCCAGAACCCGCGGAAAGGATTTGAGCCCAGCGAGACCCCGGTTAAGCTGCCCCACTTCAAGTCCACGACAAGATACATCCTTGTTTTAAGCTGCAGTAATTTGTTCCAGCAGCAACAGGAAACTCCTGGGATGTGCTCCGATGGTGAGCAAGGTGACCCTTGGAGGGGGCAGAGCAGGCAGGGGAAGCAGAGCCCCCGTGGTCATTTCTAACCTTTTGATTGGATTGAATTTTTGAAGACGTAAACGTATTTGTTATGTAATGAAATTTAAGAGCACTAAGGAAAGGGGAAGAGCCGTGGAGGAAACCGAAGCCGAGAGCCAGATAAGAGAATATATCCCAGACCACTGCGTATGTCACGGCGTGGGGGGGGGGGCTGACCCGCACCTCTCCAGCAGCTGCACTGGGGGCTACAAGGACCGGTATGGGGGAAGGGCCAGGTGTTCTGAGTGGGGGGGCAGGTGACGCCTGTCCCCCTCCAGTCAGAACAAGGGAACATGGTTTTGGAGTTTCACACACCGGGTCCTGATCCTCGCTGTACCAGTGTGAACTTGAATGAGCCCCTTCCCCACGGAGCCTCAGTGTCCTCCTCTATAAAACAGGCCCATAAGACCAACTCATGAGGGTCCCTAAGATAAGCCCACCTACAGAGATGGGCCCAGTGACACAGGCCGACATGGCAGCTAACAGGGGGTCCAGAGGCAGGAACCAGCCCATGAGGAAGGAGGGGCTCCTAGAAGGCCCAGTGCGGCTCTCTCTGATCTACCTTCAGGAGGGCCCAAGGTGTCCAGTGGCCACCTCTGATAGGGATCCAAGTAGACCAAGAAATGCCCGTTACTCTGCAGGAAGCTGGGGGAGGGGGCATAGAGGAGACACAGGAGCCCTGGCCGGTGAAGCCCCAGAACCGCCCCCCCAACCCCAGCTACTGTCCTATGTGGTCAGCTCCACAAGCTGAAAGAGGGGCGCCCACCCAGAGGAAGATATCAGGTGCCAAACCCCTCCCCAGCTGTCACCTCTCCAGGGTCCCCTGAATCCCCAGCCACCTCCTCCTGGGTCGGAGGGGGTAGAGATGGCTCAGCTCCTCTTCTCTGGCGCCCCCACCTCTGGGGCCCCTCCTCTACCTGTCTTTGGCTCTGTTTTCTTATCATTCCCTTCTCACCTGCACCCCCCAATTCCATTTGCACCCCTGCCCATCCCAACCTAACAGGATGAAATGGCTGACAGCCCTTTGTGTGCCCAGTGGCCCCCTGGGGACCAGGAAGCCTGGACTGCAGACACAGGTCTGCCTCTAGCTTAAAGGTCTCACCTCCTATGCCTCAGTTTCCCCACCCGTAAGCTGAGCAATTAAAGCAGTGCTCTCCAAACTTCATTTAAGTGAGAAATCTTTTCCCAAAAGAAATCTAATGCGTTCTAACAGTAAAACAGACAGATAAGGCTGCTCTGATGCCAGATACCGATGGCTGTGAATGGAACCACCCAGAAAGGCAGCTCCTGGGGTGTCCAGGGGCTCCAAGTATACTTTGAAGCCCTCTAGGTAGTGGTCTCTGAGGGGTGTCCCAGCTGCCTGGGGCACCAGGGGCATGCAGGGCCTCACCCAGCCTGAAGAAGCCCCACCCACTCCTTCCTCTGGCCTCAAGGGAGCCTTTTGACAACCCTGGTGCCTCCCGCCTACCCTGCTCCATTCCCCGCTCCACATCAGGTGACCCCCAAAGCTAGCCCCCCTCCCCCAGCCAGGTCCCAACTCCCCTTGACCCTGGTCTCCCTTCAGCTGAACACTCCACCCACCACTCAGCCCCATGGGGCTCCCTGGCCTTGCACAGCGGCCCAGACTCAGGGCCCCTGGAGGCTCCCCACTGTCTTCCTTGGGCCCAGTCACCCAGTCCTCACCTCTCCCTGCACACACCCTCCTGAAGCCCTCTCTCCCCCAGCCCCCGTCCTAGACCCTGACATCACCCTTGCCCCCTCCCAAACTCCCCTCCACGCCAACACCACTTTCCTGATAGCATTGTCAGACCCCAAACCCCCTCAGGTCTGCGGAATGAGATCTCAATTCCTTGGCTTGCTGGATGTCTTCACTGTAGACACCTACCGGCCCTCCACCTTCTGCCCCGGCCCGTGCCCCCACCCCAAAACCGCCCCGCACAGCCACCTCCAACCCTGAAACTTCTAGAAGGCCCCGTGCTCAGAGCCCAGGACCCCAGCAGTCTCTTCTACTTCAGGCAACGGCGTGCTGACTGGAGACAACCGACGGACTACTCTTCACAACTCTCACACATTTGTTAAGCGAAGCCATTTTAAAAACTAAATGATATAAACTTATAATTAACTATACGGAAAACAAAGGTGATACTCAAAATTCATCACTTCTTAATTATTTCACTGCATTTTATTATTGTCTATGCTCTTGAGTTTTTTGTTGTTTTTTTTTTTAAGATTTTATTTTTAAGTGATCTCTACACCCAACGTGGGGGCTGGGACTCAAGGACCCCGAGATCAGGAGTCCCACGCTCCATGGACGGAGCCGGCTGGGCGCCGATGTGCTCTCAGGTTTATTTACATCTTCTGCATCTTGTCTGGTGGAAATGCTCTATGATTCTGTGCACATATCTCTTCCCAAATCGGTGTTCGGGGACATCAGCCACAGCGGGAGTATTTACACCATGGAAGTTGGGAAACATCACAAATCAGGGCTTGATATATTGTTTTGTGATTGTCTGGACGTTAGCAAGGGCTGAGAAAATGCTAATAATGCAGATTAAACTCCCATGTCTGCCAAATTTTTAACCATCACGCTGGAACTAGAACACAGACCTGAGAACATACTCCTAAATGGAATTTTCTCAAAAGAAAACTATTATCCAGTTCGGTCAAGAGTTACTCATGACATTGACCAAGTAAAGTTCTGACATATGTCTTCTCATTTTACTCAATGACGTGAACAAAACTGTCAACCAACAGTCACGTTAGAACAATCCTCGTTTGCCAGTTACCTGACGATACAAGCATTCGGAAAAACCAGTGGAAAGTATTCTGACAGGAGTCAGTTCGCTATATATGGAATTCACAAGGAAAGGGATATATTTTGTATTTGTACACTGTATCCTAAATGTCCTTTGTATCAGTAAAATTGATAGTAAGCCATGGCCAAATGTCCCCAGAGGAACAAAATCAGCCCTAGCTTGAGAACCACTTGTCCCAGGCAGACTGAGTATCCCCTGGGGGCTACCGGAGGGTCCCACATCCCGCAGGCCACCTGCCGCAGGGTCTTGGCCTGACAGGCACGAGCGGGATCTCTCTGGCCTGAGGCAGCAACCCTGGAGGCCTGCCCGTTGGGATCCCACTCCCCACTGGGTCTCCTTCCTGGGCGGTATGGGAGAAGGGGTCCAAGTGCAGAGTGTCACGGGGAGCTCACACACGGGCTCTGCAGTCAGCCGGAACTGAACTCACATCCCACCTCTGACCTCTGCAGCTCAGCTGACCTCGGGCAAGTCCCATAACCTCAGTGGCTTGTCTGTAAAATGGGCACAGTGATCACGTCTACCCGAGGGACACTTTTAATGAGACATTGCAGGTCAAATGACACCCATGGGTGTCAAAACACTCCCAGAACATTGGCTGTTCTCTGAAAGCTCAGCAACCAGAAGCCTGCCCGCAGCCCCCACCGAACAGCCCCTCGGCCTCACCTGCGAGATGTAGCCTGGGGGGATGTGGCCATCTTCCTGGGACCGGGGTGTACCCTGTGGAACTTCTCCCTGAAGACGCCATGCCTCCAGCTGGGCACGAAGAGACTGGACCTACAAGGGGATGGGGGTGGTGGTCAGTGGGAAGCCGGAAGCTGGGAAAGGGGTGCTGGGAGGCAGTGAGGAGCCCTGGGTTTGAGCAGGGGAAGCAGCTGGTGGTGGAAATGCAGGAAAAGGGGACATTTCAGCTGTTTCCTGGATGGCCAGGTCAGTGACCCAGGAGAACTCTGTCCCAGAGAAGACTAAACAGGGCTGGGAGCAGGACACTGTGGTCACAGACACTGATCGCATTACGTAGGAGGTGGTCTCTGAGCCTCAGTTTCCCACCAGTACAACTGTGACGAGGTCTACCCTCTGGGACCCTGAGACTGCTCAGGAAGCCAATACAGGTGAAGGAGGCCGAGGAGGAGGTATACAGAAGGTGCTTAATAAGGGGTCTCTCCCTCTTCCTTTCTCTGTGGTTGCTGAGGACAAAACGAAGAAGGAAAAAATGCCCCAAAACAAGAAACACCGAGGTCCAGGAAAAAAGACTGCAGTTTCTAAGAGTCTGCGGTCTCAGCGAATCAGGGTTGAGCTCCCCATCACCAGGTATGCCAGATACATGCCACAGTGAGACTGACCGCAGGCGTAGGTGGGGTGCTGGTGGCGCGAGGGAGCTCCCGGAGGCCAGCGATGATGCCTACCTCCTTCTCCAGGGCCTCGTGGCTGTCACCTGGGGGCCCCCGGCGCTCCCCGCGGCTCTGGTTGAGCAGGGCGGTGAGAGGCACCCGCTTGTTCTCCCGCAGCGGAAGCTTCTCCAGCTCCTGCCACTTCTTCTCAATCTCCTCACTGAGCCGGCTCTGCTGGTCCTCAGTCAGCGGGGCACCCAGACCCCGGCGCGGCCCCTCGCCAGCTGCGGTCTCCGGCGGCCGGCCGGCCGTGGCCTCAAACCACTTGCGTCGCTCCTCGGAGCGCTGGGCCAGGTCCCGCTCCAGCTCCTCCTGCTTGGCCGGGCGGTCGAGCATGCGGGCCGGGCCGCGGACCCGCTGCGGGGAGCCCTGCGTCAGTGGGGACAGCTCCACGTAGTCCAGGGCCTGCCGCTGCCCGTCCGCCTTCCGCGGGCCGCCCCGACCGATGACCTCGGAGCCCCCCCGCTGCTCTCCCGCCTTCAGGGAGCCCTTCTGGGTGCTGTAGCCCTGCAGCGCGTTCTCCTTGTTGCAGTCCGAGAGCCTGGGGGGGCAGCAGAGCCTCGTCAGGGGATGGAGTGAAGAGTCAAGCACTTGCGCAGTGCCCCGCTGCCCCCCCCAGCCGGGGCCGGACCCCCATCTAGAGGTTAAGACCTGGGCTTCATCACTAACAGACCCTGGCAACCATTCCAGGGCCCGCGCTCAGCAGCAGAGGCACCAGGAGAGCTGGGTTCCCTGTTGGGCCCCCAGGGACCTCATCTGTAACATGGGTCGCCAAAACCGCTCATAGGATGGACACGAGGTCCCGTGGGAGGGCAAGCGTGCAAAGCAACCAGAGCCCTTGGCCAGCGCTGGTCATAGAATCGTCACCCGAAGTGTGGTTTAAGGCAGGGTCCGGGGCCCCAGAGGCTCATGGGAGAAGAGGGAAAACAAGGTGAACGGTGGTGAGGAGCCGGACGGTGACCGGAGCGCCGACTGCGGCAGGCCTCCCCTTGCTCCATTAGCAACAGCAGGGTACGTAAGTGAGCCAGCCAGAAACGACACCCTGCCCCCAGCACCCCTTGCAGCTGCGGGGCCCCATGACTACATTCTGGCCAGGGGTGTGGTTCCCTTTAAAGGACGGGCCATGCCGTGGCTGGACTCCGGGCTGGGACTCTGTGAGAACCGAGCCAGACGCAAAGGTGTGAGCTCTGGGCGGCGGAGCTGCCCCACCAGGTCTGGATCATGCACTTCTGGATTGTTCTGGAGAGAAAGCAAGCTCTCCCTTATTTCTGCCTCTGTGTGTGTGTGTGGGGGGGAGCTTCTTTGTTAGAGCTGCCGGGCCTACAGACTAACTGAAAGTCCAGCCGCGAAGGCCCCCGAGTCCACAAGGGGCTTCCGCGTACATCCCTCCCACGAAGCCGACGTCACGCTCGGCATGACAGATGAGAAATCGGACCCTCAGACAAGGAAGTCACTGGCCTGGGGTTGAACAGCTAAAGTTTGGCCCAGGAGTGGGGCTCAGACTTGGGTCCCCCACCATCAGACGCCACTCGTGCCGTCCAACTGCTGTGGTTCCCAGCCCACTGTGGGCAGTGAGCATTTATACTGTGTGGGGGCTCTCCCAGCAGCCCAGTCCCCCTACCCCCCAGCACGGCGACCTCGGGCGGGGTGAGCACCTCACCCAGATGACCTAAGCACACACTCTCCCTAGCACAGGCTTAGACATGGCTCCCACGGCTCCCAGAAAGTCGGCTACCTCTAGGGGGCCTTTGACTCACTGGCATCTTCTCCAAAGAGTCAAGGTCCCCTCCCCTCCTTTCAGGATGTGGGGACCATAACGGGATGGCAGGCAAACCTCAGATCCTCCAGGTATTTTTGGGTGAGTGCCAACAATGCTCACTGCCTCTCTCCACTCTGTTGATGGAGAAACTGAGGCCCCGGAGGTACAACCACGGGGCCTTTGGCTGGGTGCCAGAACCGCACTCAGGGACGCAGGGGGTGCCTCCCTCAAGGTCCCAGGCTAGCTTGGCACATACTTGGTGACATCCGGGGCCGTGGTGGGCCGCACAGTCTTCCTCAGAGCCTCGATCCAGTTTCGCCGGATACCCGAGGTCATGGCCGACAAGGTGTAGACGGCGTCCTTGGTCTGCAAGTCCACCCCGCGGGCAGGTTTGCCACATGGCCAGCCCTGCCCCCCACCCCTGCTCCCTCGCCACTGCGTGCCCCAGGGAGGGTGACCCTGCAGGATGGAACCCGAGGTCCTGCGCCCAGGGAGGAGCAGGGGGTGCCAAAGCTACCTCCACTGGTGGCTCCAGGACCTCCCCAACATCCCGCCCTCCCCTGCCACCTGTGATCTCTGGGGCCTCTCCAGACACGACAGGCGTTGGCAGCAGAGCTTCTGATCGGCTCTGAGGACCGCCTCCATGACAGTGGGTGACAGGAGCCAGTCACAAAGCCCGCCCCCCCGCCCCCCCCATGCCACCCCGGCTGCATGAGGCTCACGTGGATCTGGAAGCCATAGTTGCGCTGCACGGCGTACTCGGTGACATCCGTACAGGAGCGCAGGTCGATCTCACCATCCAGCTCATCGGCCTGCCGCAGGGAGGCCCATGATCGTCCACGCCTTCCACTGCCCCCACCTGGGTCCCCCGCCCTGATCCCCTTCCAGGGCCCCCCAGCACCTGACAGGGGCAGAGAACGCTCCCATTCAGTCTCACCTCCTCAGCAGTGGAGTCCCGGTAGTACTTAAGGCTGGAATCCGTCAGCACAAACCAGTGCTTCTTCCACTGCGAAGGAGAGGGGGCAGTGAGCGAGGGGAGAGGGGCTGCAAGCGTGGGGGATGACAAAATGGGGGTGTGGGCACCATTCTGCAGCTGTCCTCGGTGCTGCTGGGTTGACGGCACCCTCTTCTGTCCTGCTGATGGCCCGGGGGGCAGGGGACAGAGCAGAAGCAGAAACTCCATATCGGAAGCCTGGCCCCTCTAGGGGCAGCATCTGTGAAATGGGTTGGCTTTTCCTCAGTGCTGACACCTTCCCTTTCCTTCTGGGAGCCCTTCTCTGATGTGCTGGCAGTCCTGTAGCCCTCCTGACCCTCTCCATTGAGATCACCATGGCTCCTACACGCAATCCCTCCGGTGCAGACGAGGAAGGGGCTGTGACCTGTGTAAGGTCATTCGTCTGGCAAGTCAGGGAGCAGAACTTTACATGTCTCTTCCCCTAGACCCCTCTAGGTCACCTCAGTAGCCAAGGACAAGCGTCCCAGAGTGAATGGAAGGTGGCCTGGGGGGAGGCGTCTGAACATGGGTCCTATTCTGTTCGCTGAGCCGGGTGTCGGTTACACACGTATTCAGCTCGAGAGAGGATATTCTCTGCACATTTATGACTTGGGTCCCTTTCTGCAGTGCCGTCTGCTCCAGGGGGTGAGGCCGGCAGGCCGTGGAGGGGAGGGGAGGGGTGGTGGAACAGCTCATTATTAAATACTCCAAGCTCAGCCCATCCCTGGGCTTCTGGCCATTGGCTGGAATGCCAGTCGAAGTCCACCCACTCCCAGGGTCAGCACATGCCACCCAGTCCTCGGCCCTCCAGGGGCTCCCCCACACCAACAAACTCTATCCAAGTCTAAGTCTAAATACTTAGTGTTCTTTCCTTAAGAAGATGGCAAGTTTTCAAGGATGTGCCAGAATGATACTTTCGACTTCTCTGTACACAGCCTCGCCTAAGAAATAGGGTTTAGCATCCAAGAGACCTAGGTTACAATTATTTTATCCCTTGCTAGCTGTGTGTCTTTGATCAGGTATTTTGACCTCCCTGAGCTTCATTCTTCTTGGCTTGGCAAGCAGGACTAATAAGAAGTCTCCTAAGCCTTCTTGTGAAGTTAGAAGTATCTATCCCTTCCTTGTATGTCTCTCATGGCACTTAGCATAGGGTCAAGCACTAGGTTACTGGGGACTGTCCTAGCAATGGCCTGAGTTGCCACTCAGGACCTCAACTGTCCCTCTACAAAGCAGGGCAGGGCTTCTGTGCCAAATCGTCTCTTTGGCCCCTGCCTAATTTGGCCTAATTTACGATGGCTGAGATAGGAGCCAGATGGAGCTCCATGGCCTTAGGCAGCCCAAGTTCTAGGCCTGGCTCTACTGCAGGGGCTACTAGGCCCAGAAGAGCTGGAAGCTCAGATGTAGGCCTGTCCCCTGTCTGTGTACCCAGGGGCTGAGCTCGCTGAACTCCCAGGGCCCTTCCAGCTTGGACATTCCAAAACCCTGCGAAAGAAGATGAGTAGCGGCCAGTTCTGGGTGGGGCCCATCATCTCTGCCCTCCAGAGACCCTGGGTGGGGAGGCTGGGAAGGGTCACCGGCAGGGTGCCAGGCCTTGTGTGAGCCTGGAGCACAGCCACCCGCCGACCGGCGAGCAGGCAGCAGGAACGGAAGGCTGTGGGCTGGAGGGAATAAAACATGTGGGTAGGAAACACAATGAGATTCCCTTTGGCTCTGAGCCCTCCCAGGCATGCGGGCTGCACGCAGGCCGAGCCACGGGCGCATGCAGGACAGGGGTGGGTCCCCTCCCAGGCTGAGTGGGCAGGAAGCCAGTTCCAGCTCCCAGACTCCATCCAGCCTGGCAGCTGAAAGGGCAGAGCCAGCGAGAGGGCACTGTCTCTCCTCATTCTAAGGATGGACGCATTAGACAAAGGGAAGGGTTACTGGCTGAGCTCTGGCAGGGACCCTACATGTCTCGACCTCCCCGACCCTGTTGTCCACCCTGGAAAGAATCGTCATTGTCCGTCATGCCCATTCCACAGATGTGGCTCCTGAGGCCAGAGGAAGCTCTGGATCGACCACTGGAGCCCCAGGCTGGTCTTCTGAGGCCCACTTCTGCGGGGAGGGAGAGGCTCCTGCATGGCTGAGTCCTTGGGAATCCGCAGTCTCAGGACAGCTGGTCTCTTGGAGCCCTTCCACCCCAGACCCAGCCAGCGTCATCAAGAGGGGAGAGGGCCCAGGGCCTCTCAGTGACACGAGGGGATGGGGTGCAGGGGATGAGGGGCTAGGAGGTCTCTAGTCCTGAGGCCCTGTATGCCTGTGGACTGTTCTAGCAGGTTGAGACGACCGCAGCCTCTGCCTTCCCATGCCCCCAGCCCAAGGCCCTCTGGGACTGCATGAGAAACCACCGCCCTCACGGTGCCCACTCTGGGCCCCCCTGGACCCCCCTACTCAGAGGCCAGGCTATCCAGAAGCCTGGACAAGCCATGGAAGCAGCTCAGCCTGCCGGGCTGCCCCCAGGTACCTGGTGGAGCCCCGAAGCTGCCCAGGCCACCCCCTCCACTCTCGCTGCAGCCCTCCTACCTCTCCGGGCTCGTCCAAGATCGACATCCATCCCTTCTTGAAGTTGAGCAGATCGGGCTGTGGGAAGATGAGCAGGCAGGTGATTTAGGCCTGGTGGAGAGCCACCCAGGACTGGGGAGGAGTGGGCACCCATCTTGCCCCCCAGAGAGACCAGGAGATGGGGGGGCTGAGGGCCCAGGAAACCCCCAAATCCAGGCAGGTTCCCAGCCACTGAGGCAGACCTGGCCCCTCTCCCCAACAGTCTCTGAGAGCCAAGAGGGCAGGCGGGGTGACATCCACCGTAGATGTCCAGGCTCCCCTCCCCAACCAGCCTACCTTCTCACCGAACAGTGAGAGACAGAGCGGCTCTGCCTATAGAGACTCCAGAGAGCACTGAGAACAGCCAGGACCAGCCGGCCCAAGCCAACTGTCCAGCTGCTCTCACTGAAGAGGCCGGGAGGCCCACCAGGAAAATGCCTTCACGCCCCCGCTCATCCCCCACTCACTGACCCTCCCGTGTTCCGACCAGCCCTGCCCTTTCCATGCCTCCTGGAGACCCTGAAAGATGGGAGTCAGGCCCAGGCTAGGGTCAGCGATCCTCTGGTGCCCTCCAGATCTCTAGAAGGACCAGGAAGGAGGCACCTCAGTCCTGGCAAGCCCCACCTGGTGGGTGCTGCCCAGCGGGGCACGGGCCCGGGGTCTGGGGGCTCCCAGCTGCAGCATGTCCCACAGAGGACTGTGGGCTAGGCACCCCCTTCCCCCCACCACCACCCCAGGGCCTAGATGAAGCAGCCACTCATCCAGGCATTTTCTCTGGCCACGCCCATCTGATGGGCTCCGGCCACCAGACCCTCCTGGCCCAGGCGCAGACTTCTCTCATCTAAGTCCTGGTCCCCTCAGCAGAGTGTCAGCCCCTGCTCCCTGGCAGGGCGGAGAGTGGGGCGGGCCAGGCTGCAGGGCAGGAAGGAGGCGGCCACCTGTTGCCATGGCCTTGAGCCCACCTATCAGCACCAGTAATCATGGCCTCACCAGGCCAAGGTGTCTGGTTGCTGGTTGCGTGGAAGGAGCCTGCAGCGGGTCTCAGTGGGGTGGGCAGCAGAGACGGCAGCTGGTAACCGGAGCCACCTGACTTGGCTACCTCCCCTGACCCGCCTTCCTCCCCATTCTCCTCTTCTGCAGGTGGAGGAAGTGGCCCACGAGGGGCTTGTGCCAGCAGCCTGGACATCCAGAGCCATCCAGAGCCATCCAGAGCCCGGGCTGTGGGGCCAGAGCCCTTGGATCTCCGCAGGCCAGCATCCCCACCCCTGCATGGCAGCTGGTCCCCGCCTACCTGTCTGAGGGAGGGGACCCGGGCTCTGCTCTCAGAGTTGGGAAACCCTGGGGCTGTGTTCGTCCTGTCTCTCTCCATCTGCCCTTACCCTGCTCCCCACCAGTGCCAGAGGCTGCTTAGGACAGTCCCAAACTAAGACCGAAGACTGGCAGCTACACTTGGGGCCACCAAATCACCTGGGTGACCTCCATTCAGATGGGGACCTCCAGTGACCCCAAGGCTGGCATGCTGTGACTGGGTGTCAGCAAAAGCCTGCTGAATAAATATTACCCTCCTTTACCTTCCTGGTCTAAACCCCTGTGCTGGTCCAGGGGAAAGCTCCTAGGAAGGGACAAGTGGACGACCCAGCCCATCAGACTGGGCCAGGGTTGGGAGGTTGGCCATAGGCTTCCAGGAGAGAGCAAAGGCTCCCCAACTAAAATGACAGGCTGGGACCCCAAGGGCTGCCTGGAAAGCAGAGGGCAGGCAGGGCGGACATCACATTTCCTCCCTGACCCCCGGCTATCTAATGCAGCAAATGCTGGGGGGACAGGTCCTGCGCTGCCCCACGCTTTGTGAGAGGGCTGAATGAGCTACATATGGAGAAGCTCAGTGACCTTCTGGAAGCTGCTCGCCATCCCGGGTGCTAGAAGGCACACTGACCTTAGCGGGGAGGAGGCTGCTAACATGAGATTGTAAATCCGCTGACAGGGAAGATTCTGCAGTAACCTGGGAACCCCTGTCCAGGGTCAAAAGGTCTGCCAGCCTAGACCTCTCCTGCTGTCCCTTCCCACATGGCCTCTAGGGCCCAGCCACCCTTCCTCCGCCTGAGAAAGCTCACCTGCCCTTTGTCCCTTCAGGGGTCCCGACCAGCTCTCTCCTCCTTTGGGTCATGGCCACTGACCCACTGACACGGCCCCCTCTAAACACATGCTTGGCGGGCAGACCCCCTCAAAAAGGCCTAAGTGTCACAAGTCTGCTTCAAACCTCCAGGGGGCTGCAAAACGAGGTCTGGCTGCCTGATGGCACACAAGCTTCAGCTCACCCTTCCAGCTGGCATCCCCCTTGCACAGGGAACCCCATCTTTATATCGTCACCACATATGCTCTCTGATCAGCAACACATCAGGACTCCAGGCCCTCCACACCAGCCCATGTCCTCTGCTGAAATACCAGGCTTCCTCCTCCACCCGGGACCAGGCAAACCCCTACTCGTGCCTTAAGACCCAGCTTAACTGCCACTTCCGTGGCCCCTTTCCCAGTACACACCACACACCATGCCAGAAAGTGCCCTCCTGCAGCCTCTGCTGTGTTTGTGATGGTCTCAAAGCCATTCACTTATCCCTCACAGGCTAGAATAGGAGCAACTCACCGTTAGGGACATGCTTGTTAACCCTCCAGGCTAAGGGAATGTTTGTTGAAAAACTTTTTTTTTTTTTTTTTTAAAGCACCAGGCACTGCTTGAGGCCAGGAAATCAGCTGCGAAGGGGAGATGTGGCCCCTACCCTGGTGGAACTCAGGAAACAGACAGACAATAAACAAGTGGACAGGTATATAATTTGATGCCAGGCAGTGGCTAAGGCAGGAGGCTCCAAGGGCAGGGCTGCACTGGGCAAAAGCTAAAGGAGGTGAGGCAGATCTGGACTCCAGGCCTGGTTTTACCCATTCACGGCAACTTTACCACTCGCTCCCTACAGATCTCTGAGCTCAGGGCTGGGGGTCAGGAGAGAGGGAAAGGGTGTGAAGAAGACACAGGAGGGACACCAGGCTGGGGCAGGCTCAGGCATGAAGGCAGCCATGATGAACCCAGCAAATGCTGTCAGCAGAGATCATGAGCCATCTCTCTGCTCCGAAACTTTTCTTGGCTCCCCAGTGCCCCTGATCAAAGCCCAAACTGCTTCTCCTGGCCTTCGAAGCCCTCCTTTCGAGGCCCCTTTTCGATGTTCTCACCTTTCCCCAAACACAACCACGGTGTTTGTCTACACTCTTCCCTCCCCTAGTCCATTTCCATCTGACAAAATCCTCTAATCACGGGAGGGTGTCTTCCTTTGGAAGCCCCCTCCCACCGCAGGGATATGCTGTCCCTCCTCCAAGTACCCCCCACAGGCGGCATGAAGCAGCCCCCTCACCATGTGCTTCCCCATGAAAGGCAACAGTACATTTCTATCTAGCCCCAGAAAGAAAACTGGGGCAATCTAGCTACAAATACCGGTTATGTCACTTGGGCAGGTTACTTCCCCTCTGTATACCTCAGTGTTCTCATCTGTTAGATGGGAAGTTAAAATCATCGACCTTAAAGGATCAACTCTGGTAACGTGAAAGCACCCACTTCAGGGTCTGGCAGGCACCCAGTAGGCAATGCAAACATCCTCCTCGGGGCCTGGGGGCCTGAGGGTGGGTGGCCAGGACACTGACTCAGCGCCTCCCCCCACATCCCTCTCTGCTCACTGACCAAAAGGAGGCTGCTGACTACAGGAAGAGCCAGCAGGGAGGTGGCAGGATGTGCGGAGGCCGAGGAAGTCCTAGCAGCGGCCGGGTCATCACACTCACAGGGGCAGGGGCCCTTAGGGCCAACCCCCAGCAGCCCAGCCCACTTCTTGTCAGGGTCTCCACTATCCGAGGAAAGGGGACGTGCGCATGCGCAAACACACCCAGCTCCACTCCATCACCCCACCCGTCCAGGCTGTCAGAGCCTCCCTAAGGCGCTAGCCAGAAACCAAAAGCAGCCCCGCCCCTCCCTTCCAGAACATCATGGTCAAGGGGCCAGACTGACCTGGAAAGAGGCTACTCCTTCCTTTACGCTCAGGGTAACCCAGGGCAACACCACCCCTCATCCCCCATGCCTCAATTTACCCAAATGTGAAATGGGAATAATGGTGAACTCGGCTGTGGGGCCCGATGTGATCATTAAGGTACAGGTAGTGACTTGGGTAATGTCCATCCCCAAGAGAAAGGCGAATCTCTGACATCGTGTCCCCCACGTCGCTCGTGGGCTTGCCCCACCCAAGGCCCCAGCGCCCCTTCAAAAATCCCAGCATGGGCTCCCGGACGGAGCGCAAAGGGGAGGCTCCTTCTCACCCGCTCAACCTCCGGCCAGCGCCCACGCGAGTAGGCAGCCCTCCCAGCCTTCGAACGGTTCTGTGCGACCCATTCGAGCCGGGGAGCGCCTCTCTCCAACCCCGGACGAGATCCCAGACCCAAACCAGGCCCATCCTCGTTCCCTCCCACTGCCTGGAGCCCTGGGAGTCCCTACCGGTCCGGCAGTTCGGGAGAATGCAAGGGAGCTGGAGGGGAGGTGGGAAAGGGCCATCCCAAATTGCCCGCGACTGGTCCCGCTAAAGTTGCGGTGGGGCGGGGTGGGGGGGGGGATCGGAAGGGGCTGCCCAGGACAGGGAGTTCCCACTGCGTCGGGGTCGCCCTGGCTCCTCGCCCGGAAAGGTGAGGAAGAGATTGGGGGTTAGTTGAGGCAGGCCGGCCGGCCTGTGCCGCTGGGGTCGCCCTGTCTTCCGGCCGAGACCTCCTCTTGCCTCCGGGAAGTGAAGGGGGTGCCCAGGAGGGGAACGGCTCGGCTCTGGCTCGGGCCGTCGCTCTCCGCCCCGCCTGGGGCGCAGAGGGGCTGCCCCGCGGGGGCACTCACCGTCATGGCGGCGCCCCGGGGCGGCGGGAGCAGGAGGCAGGAAGGTGGGAAGGACTCTCGGGCCGGGCCCAGCAGCGCGGGAATCCCGCCGCCGCCGCCGCCGCCGCCCCTCTCGGCCGCCCGCAGCCGCTCCTCCGGCCCTTCCCTTCCCCGGCGCTGCCCCGGCCCCTTCCATCCGCCCATAAAACTTTTTTTTTTTTTTTTTTTTTTTTCAAACTTCCTGGGAGGACCCTGGAGGGCCAATGGGCGGCGGGAAAGCCAGGACAAACAGCGGCGGGGGTAGCGGGCGGACCAATGGGAGCGCGGGCCGGCCCGGGGGCGGGGCCTGCCGCGACGGGACGGGCGCGCGAGGGCGGTCTGGGAGGGCGGATGGGGGCGGAGGGAGCCGAGGGCCGGACTGCGGCCGCCGACGCGCAGGGAGGAAGGAAGGGCTCAACGTGCAGGTGACTCGGCCCGGCCCCGGCGCGGGAGCGCTGGGCGGGGGCAGTCGGGTGTGGCACCTAGTCACCCTGTTATGGCTCCCGCGAGCCGCTGGACGGAGCGATGGGTCCACTAAGGGCTCGGCCCCTCGGTTTGACGGAGACGTGGGCAGTGCACCCAGTCCTACCAGCTCAGCGGGTCCCCCTCGCCCAGCCCCGCTCGTTACCTGTGTCACCTAGTTTCGGCCTCACCACAGACCTGACAGGGAGGTGTCCCCGTCCCCATTTTAGTAATGAGAAAAGAGAGGCTCAGAGAGGTGGGCCGACTTGCCCAAGGTCACAGTAAGAAGAGACGGGATTCCTAGCGCGTAATCTAAGCACAAAGCGAGTTCTGGAAATGTAGGGCATTCCCCAAATGGCTCCTCCTCCCAAGCGGGTCTTTCTGGGCTTAAGAACCCGGTTTTGGGTTCTTGGATGGGGGCTACACCCGTTTCTCACATTCCCAGCACTTGGCAGGTTGTAAGAGGCCTTTTGCCTGCAGGAGCTCCTCTGAGCCTTGCAGCGGAGGAAAGACTTCGGTGGAATTTGTTGAATTGTGATTCAAACCCTGTGTTACCTTCAGCAGGGTACTCGGCCTCTCTGGGCCTCAACTTCACCCTCTGTAAAAGGGAATAATGCTCTTATGTCGTGATATTCCTGTAAGGATGAAGTGTTAATTTAAGTAAAGCACCTAGAACAACCCCTTTATCCCTAGTTAGCTAACGTTTGGGGGCGGGGTACAGGAGAGCTTGGAATAATTGCTGTTTCAATTTTCTGCCATCTCAGTTTGGGGTTCAAAAATTATTGCTGTCATGACTATACTTACTCTCCGGGCGCCTGGGAGGCCCAGTTGTTAAGCATCTGCCTTGGGCTCAGGTCATGATCCCAGGATTCTGGGATCGAGCCCTGCATCAGCCTCCCTGCTCTGCGGGAAACCTGCTTCTCCCTCTCCCACTCCCCCTGCCTGTGTTCCCTCTCGCTGTGTTTCTCTCTGTCAAATAAATAAATAAAATCTTTTAAAAACCCACAAAACTCTAATTACTCTCCCCATTTCACAGATAAAGAAACAGAGGCTCAGGGAGCTGAAGTTTTTTCCCTGCATTTCCCACTGGGTGTCTCTCCTCCACCCTGAGGAATGAGGCCGAAAACCAGCCCATCTTCCTTTAGACATGCCTTCCTGCCTCCACATGCTGAGTCTTCCCACTCTACCCCTGTACCTCACTCAGGCATTTGGTCCTTGGTAGAGTGAATGAATAAACAAAAGACCTCCCCAGCCACCAGTGCTCTGGCCCAGTGGCCCCTGATAGCATCAGCCTCCTTGCTGCTTTCCTGGCCTCTGGGACTCCTCTTGTAGTACCCTCAACCCAGCGATCGCCAGATCACTTCCCTGCTCCAAGTTCAATACCTCCCCAGTGCTAGTAGATCAGCTCTGCCTACTTGTGCCAGGCAGTCAGTGTCCATCATAATCGGACCCTACCTGTTGTCTTCCATTATTATATACACACATTGTACATGCCACGGACACAGAACATGGAGCCACTGGGAATTCTCAGAATAAGTCAGGTCCTATTGTACCTCAGATGGGACTTCACAACGCATTCCCCACCGGGTCTGGAACACTTCTCTTCCTGTCCTCTGTGCCCCAACACACACATACACTCTCCCTCTCTCTCCTGCCCCTCCCTTCCATCTCTCCAAATGTTTGTTTGCTCGGAAAATGCCTCCTCACCCTCCAGGTCTCGGTCCAAAGGAAGCCCAAGTGCCTCCAGCCCAGAGACTCTCCTGGTCCAGCACTCCCTGCTAGTCTGTATATCGGCCACTAAAGGGATGACCACGCTGTGTTCTTACCAGTTCCGTGTCAGTGTCCTCATCACACTGAGCTTCTCATGGGCAGAGACAAGAGTGTTTTTGCCTCTATCTTGGAGACCAGCCCAGGGCCTCAGCCCACAGTAGGTCCTCAGTAAACATAGGTCCGATGAAGGCATGCACAAACGAAGGAATGACTCCCTTGCCACAGCTTGTGCTGGTTCAGACAGAGATGGCACAGACCTGGGGACCCAGGGCCACCACCAAACTGCAGGGTTATCCATCTCCAGCTGTTACTCCATTGAGGATAACACCGTGAGGCTCAGAGAGGGTGACAATGGCTCAAAGCCATACTCATTAGGGACAGAGACAGAACTCAAGCCTGGGCTTTCCGGCTCTTGACCTGGGACCGATTTCACTCTCCAACCTAAGAGATGTTTGAAGCCGCTCTAAGGAACTATCTGGGAGGCCCTGCTGGCGGTTCCATCCCATCGCTCCTGACTGTTCTCCCTCCCAGATGAGAAACGACTGCCAACTCGTGAGCCTCCATAGCCACATCTGTGTAACGCGAAAAGCTGTGAAGATTCTCAGGGCTGCAAGCAGCTTGGAAGAGAGCAGGAGGCACGGAGATGGGAGGGCTCTGCGGTCAAGGCGAGCAGGGTCCGAATCTCAGCTCTGCCCCCGTGTGACCTAGAACAAATGGTCTCTCTCCTCACCGAGCTTCATGTTCTCATCTATAAAACAGACAGTGTGCACCGTACTTAGCGTGCCTGGTGCTGAGGAGTCCACGCGATCAGGCGTGACCACGGCATGTCACATACGGGACACAGAACTGAGCACAGAGGCGCCCAATACACTCTGGTTATCATCCCGCCCAGGACTTGAAGGTCCCACCGTGCCCGGCTAACATGTTCGTCTGATCACCAAAAGCCGCATAGAGGCAATCATGCAGTGGCTGGGAAAGGTAGTGCTTGGACACGCCCCCCCATCTCTGTGCATCCCAATCTCCCTGAGCTCTCTCTGCAGCCTTGAGAGTCGCTATTGACTTTTCCCCATTACGCAGATGTGGGCACTGAGGCTTGGGGTGGTTCGCGGCAGGCATCGTCTCATCTAGGAAGGAGGAAAATCAGCAAGAGGCTGGCTCCTTTAAGCCCTAGCAATGCAATGCCAGCCAGTCAGCTCACCTCCGTGAGCCTCTGTGCCATCATCTGCAAAATGGGTGTCCTGTCCCTAACGTGCCCAGCCTAGTGCCAGACCCAGAGCCAACGAGAGTACAAGAGTCGGCCTGTCACTAAGAGAAGAGAGAGCCCTTGAGCCTGCTAGTGGTCCCTGGGGAGGCCAGTCCGCTTTTCTCTGCTGTGAAGGGGGCAGGAGGGAGCAGGTCACAGCTGCCTCCCCTCCCCACCCTTGAGGAAACCCTGAACCAGAGGCCTGAGTGTTTACAGGCCTCTCAGGGCAGCGGGTAGCTTACGTAATGCCAGATGTTTGTGAAACGGGCTCAGGTCCAGCTCTGAGACACACTTTGCAATCCCAGAGCCCCCCGCAGGCCATCCCTCTCTCCGTTCCTCCCCCAGCCTGGTTCCCCTTGGCCCAGGTGCTGACTAGGAGCTTTCAGCCGTGTGTTCAATCCCACCTGACCCCGAAAACCAAAACCAGCCCCAGTCCAGTCCAGTCACTTCCAGAGACCACGGGGCCCTTAGGACTCTGCTTTCATCTCTCCTTGCTCGTGTAGGAGCCCCCAATCCCCCCACGCCCCCCACTCTCCCTCTCTTGATGCCAACGTCCTTTCTCCCCTCCCACTCTCTCCCACCCTCATCCCTCCCACCCCACTGGAGCCAGCCTACCCTTTGCCACCTGAGGACCCCCAGAGACAGCAGGAACGGATTGAACAGCGTGGGACGGTCCCCGGGCATCCGCCATGAGGTCACCAGTCGGCCCTTGAGTGGGCTCCCAGCCTTGCCCTCCGCTGGCCTCTTGTCTGCCTGTCAAACAGGGTCCAGTGTTGGCCCCCAGGTCCTTTAGGTGGGATGGGGGGGCGGGTCCCTGACTACAGTCTCCCCTGCCTATTCTACCACGCCCACCTCAAAGGCCCAGGGCTCCCATCTTTCTCGTTTCACAGAGCTGCCAAGGAAAGAGCTTGTTAACTCATTGACACTACGGGGTGTTCGCCTGATAGGGTTCTTGGGGCTCAGCGCCTTTGGACACATGCCCTTCACCACCCTAAAGTCAGACCACCGGTGTCCAGTAGGAGGGGCGTGCAGACCCTGCCATGTGTTCAGCCTGCATAGGGTTTTCAGATTATTTTGCGTTAGGTTCCAATGTTAAAGAATCAGGAGATTAACATATAATTGCATAGTTCCAGCTTCTCTTGAAATACCTAAAGACGTGGGAACTCCGGGTCCATCTTCCCCACAGCAACAACTGGTCTGGCACCAAAAGGTCACACAACTCCCCCCCCCATCTGCCTTCCTCTCCCCGCCATGAAAGGAAGGAGTCACAGACTTTTGCAACCACCCCTGGCAGGCCCCCCAAATGCGGCCCCTCTGCAGACATCCTTGGGGAGACAGGCCACAGCAAAACAGAGGCACAGCTTACTGGCAGAGGGGAAGGACAGAGTCCAGGTATCCCCACTTTTCAGAATCAAGAGATCATCTGGCAATGGGACCTAAAGCATCAGAGCACGGGCCCAGGATGGCTTTGGGAGAGGGACTGCTCCCCCACCTTGCCACCACATTCCCCCAGCACAGCCCTGGCCACTGGACCAGGAGCTCCATGCATCCAGTTGGCTCCTGGCCCACACCCAGGCATACAGAAGGTGCTGGCTAAGTGTACGTGGATGAATGAGTAAATGGATGGATGAATGAAGAATGAGTGAGAGAACAAGACAGGCATCAGCTCTGTCCAGTCCTGATTGCCTGGGGCTATACTGAGAGGTTTCCATGTTGGTGGAGATTAGCGGGGGACCCCTAGATGGCTATTTCTTCCTCGTTCACCAAACTCTGGCCCCAGGAAGTATGAAGAAATAACCCAAAAAGAGGAAGAGCAAAGTTGCCAGAGCCCCCGTGAGAGCTAGAAGCACCTTTAGTGACCAGTCCTCTGTCCACTCCCGTGTCACAGACAAGGAGACAGGCCACCAAGCCATGAAAATCTTGTTGCCACTGGGGGAGGCCACGTGAGGAATCGGGACAGAACCAGGAATCAGCATCCAAGCAGCAAAGGGACTGCAGGATGGGGGTCCCAAGCTCCAGGTTCTAGCTGGAGGTCAGCCTCTGCCTCGCTGTGTGACCTGGGATGACTCGTTCCCTCATCTGCACGGGGAGGGACAGAATCCGCCCCCGCCCAGCTCTGATGAGCGCCAGGGTCAGACCAGGGGGTTCCAGGCTGCCAGACAGATGCCTCACCCCCTCTCCCAGCACCACCAATCAGCTTCTCCGGCGGCAGCGAGGAAAGAGCGCAACAAGGGCAGGATGAGGAAAGCACAGCCCCAAGCAGTCTGTCTCCTTCGCCCTGCCTCCCGCTGCTCCAGGCTGTCCGCTCTGACCTCACCTCTCTGGAGGCCGAGGGTGATGAGAACAGTCTGTTTGGCAGGTTGTGGGAGGGGCGGGGTGCAGTGATGGGCTCCAGCCGCCTGCCAGGCCTCCCGGCAGGCTCGCTAGGTCCCGCCCCCTGCACACATCTCTCCCAACCGCCCCAGGCCCTGGAGACCATCCAGGCTCAGTGGACAGCAGCACCTCCTCAGCCCTCTTCAGTGGTTCTCTGGCTCTAGCTCTTGGAATCTCTATCCCTTCTCCCTGCCTGGCCAGCCCTCCAGAACCAGAAGGGCCTTGCCTTCAGACATCATCGGGGTCAAACTGCCATTTGCCCAGAAAAGAGGAGTGACTTCTCAGGGCATCCTTGCAAGTCAAAAGCAGAACCTCAGGCCCAAAGGTGGCTCTGCAACCCAGCACCTCTGGAGCCCCTCCTCTCAAGGCCCTATCAGGCACACAGATGGCCCCATGGCGGAGCCAACCCTGGTCTGGACAATCCCAGAGCTCATCAGAGGACCTCAGCCCACCTCCAACCTGATTTCCCTTCCCTTTACCTCCCTATGAGCCCACACCCATGACCCAACTACCGAGTCTGCATGCTTCTGGTCGGTCAGTGAGTCTTGGCCTTTGCTTGGTTCTGACTCCTCGGGCTCCTCTGATTGGAACTGGAGATAAGAAAGAACACAGCTTAACCCATGTTATTCCCCAGACTGTATCCACCTTCTTATCCATCCATTCGTCATCCATCCATCCAACACCCATCTAGCATCCAACATCCATGGACCCATGTATAATTCATCCAACCAGCCAAAGTCTACCCCTGTATTATCTACTCACTAACCTATTCAACATCCATCATCCTACTCATCCATCCATCCTCCATCCATGTAGCCTTTCTCAACCCATCCAACATCCAACCATCCATCATCTTCCAACATTCATTCATCGCCCATCATCCATATGCCACATTTACCCTTCCACACACCATCCATCCATCTATTTTCTACTCATATTCATCCCTCCATCAGTTCATCATCCCATCTGTCATCTAAGCAACATCATCTATCCAACTCCCATTACCTGTTCCACCATCACCCACCTAACTTTCCACCCAACAGCCCTTTCTCATGTAGTATATTTACCTATTTATCTGTCCATCGCCCACTTACACAACCACTGTCCACCATTTATCCGTCATCTACCCATGACCCACCCACCCTCCATTTGTTTCTTGCATGCACTCAAGGTTCTTGGATTCACTGATCAATCATCCATTGAGTTGAGCTCCTCCTTTGTGTCATGTCCTGGGCCAGGGGCCAGAAGGGCAGAGATAAAGTAGACGAAGCTCCCGCCCCCAAGCAGCCCGTCTTTCTTATGGGGGAAATGGCAACTGAGTGTGGCCAGATGGAGGGGAGCAGAATCACTGAGCCTAGAAGGAAAGCATTACCAACGTAGAGGTGGGGTGGGTACTCAGGGAAGGTATCTCAGAGCAACGCACCCGGTCTAAGACTTGAACAATGAACGAGTGTTTGGTGACTGAAGAGAGAAGGGAAGAGCATTTTAAGCAATGGGAAAAGCCCGTGCAAAGTTAGGGAGATGAGATGGTCCCGCGGAGCTCTGCCACCAGCTCCACAAAGAGAGAGTGAATGTTTGGTGGGAGGAAGGCCAGGGGGAGGTCAGGCCAAGGATTTGCATAGAGGGGGACCAAATGGCACCCCAGCAACCTGGTAAATACCTCTGTGGTGTCATTCGTGAAATGCCCTTAAACACCTGTTGCTCCCGCCCCTCCCTGGAGGCCATGGCTAACTTCCCGAGGCCTTACCACTGAGCAAATGCAGGTGAAGGATCTTTCCAGTAGAGTGGGCCAGGCAGCCGTGTCCCAGCATCCACTGCGACAGAGCACCCCTCCTCCCCGAGCTGCCTGGGGTCCATCTGCCTCCCTGATTAGCCTGACAGCTTCTTGGGGTGAGGGGCTCCAAATTCCCCGAACCCCCTCTGGCCAAGACAGCAGGACCAAGCTGGTTCATCCCTGCAACTCTTTTGTCCATGCACTGAGTCGACTGGAGAGCCAGCAGATAAAAGCCTCAGAGAAATACAGCGGAAGGGGCTCCCGGGCGGGCCTGTGCTCAGAGGATTTACAACATGGCAGTTAAAAACCGGGGCCTTGGGGCGCCTGGGTGGCTCAGCGGGTTAGAGCCTCTGCCTTCAGCTCAGGTCATGATCCCAGGGTCTTGGGATCGAGCCCTGCATCGGGCTCTCTGCTCAGCAGGGAGCCTGCTTCCTCCTCTCTCTCTGCCTGCCTCTCTGCCTACTTGTGATCTCTGTCTGTCAAATAAATAAATAAAATCTTAAAAAAAAAAAAAACCGGGGCTTTGGACACTGGGGACAACTGATACATGCATGACCCCCAGGAAATGCTGGACGAGGCCAAGCCTTCTCTCAGGCCAAGGCATGGGAGGCATAAGGTATGAAGCAGCAGGCTCAGAACCCGGGACAGCATGAACCCTCCCTGTCCTCCAGGAAGGAGGCGGCGTGGGGCGGGACATCAAGGAAGTGAGGGAGTTTGGGTGATCGGGCTGGAGCCTCCATATCACCCCTGCGAAGGCTAGATGGGAAGCAGCTGGTCCCATTTTACAGGGCAAGAGAAGCTCGGTGCCCCAAAGCATGTGCTGCATTTCCAGGGAGCTGAGGCCCCGTTCTGGCCTCCGGAACCCTCCCCAGCCACCATCTTCAGGTAGAGGCTCCAGGCAATGGCAGAGGGTCCCTGCCGCTGGGGCGAAGGGGGCAGGGAAGGGACCTAGTGAGCTCCTACTCTGTGCCAGGCCCTGGGCCTACCTTGCACACGTGCCCTGATTTAAACAGCCGGGCTTAGCTCCTGGCTCAACCCAATCAGCATTTGCACAACCTCTTCTCTGTGCCTAAGAGGAGCTGTAGGGGCCAGAGAGGGCTAAGTGATGCTGTCTGGACTTTGAGGAACTTTGAATAGGGCAGTGGGGGAGGGGACTTGACCACACTGGTTGCGGTCCCAGCCAGGGTCAGGTGGGAGCCACCAGAGGCCACAGGAAGCAGAGCCTGGGCAGCATGGAAAGGGGTGTGCCCTGGGCAGAGCACCTTGCTTGACAGCCTGCCCCAGCCCTCACTAGCTGTGTGCTCTCTGGGCCTCAGATTCCTGATCTGAGAATACACGGTGCCTTTCTCATCAGGTTGCTATGGAGATTAAATGAGGAAAATATCCAGAAAACATTCAGACCCGGGCTTAGCTGGTAGTTAATGCCGGTCATCAAAGAGTGTGGGTCGTTATCACTGCTGCCCATTTTGGGGGCTGGGAAAGTGCTGGTCGGGAGGGAGGGTTAGGGCTGAGCCTCGGAGGGTGTGCAGGAGCCGGAGGGAGGCCTTTCGAAGGATACTTGTCTGGGTGGGGCAGATTGTCAGGCTGCCCTTGCACGGGAGATGAACTTACCTCCCACTCTGGCAAGCCGGGACCCTCTGCAGGGCTCCTGCTCCCCAGCTGGCCCATCTCTTCCAGACCAGCCATAGGTGAGGTCTCTGGTCCCCTCTTCACTCTGGTCTTTGGCCACTGGGCGGAGGTGCAGGCAGGGCTGGGCGGCTGGGCGGAGCTCCCGGGCCACTGCCCAGCGCTCTGGCTCTGTCCGTTGACCAGGGCGGACTCCTCCCAGCCATCAGGCTGGCCCTGTCGCTCTAGCTCCGGGATGCCATTTGTGCCCAGGGAACCCACCTCTGGCCCTGAAGCTGGGGCCGGAGGACCCCCTGAAGCCGGGGCCAGGGGACCCCAGTGTCCAGCTGGGTCCTTGCGGGGCAGCTGGGCCCGTAGGAGCTCCAGGAGGCCTTCCCAGTCCAACCTGGGAAGGTGGGAGGTGAGCATCGACTCCTCTATCCGGCCCCAGGCCCCCTCTCTGGGCTCCCCTAGAAGGCCCACAAGGTCCTTCCAGTCAAGCTCGGATGTCCTCTCAGGACTATGCAGGTGTGGGCATGTTCCCTCAGCCCTCCAGCCCATGGTAGTGGGCATCTCAGGCCTCTGGGATTTCAAGAACTCTGCTGGGCCTACCCCGGAGTTCTCTGGGGGGCTCTTAGTCTGGTGGGCACTGGGCAGCTCCTGCAGGCTGGCCCAGCCTCTGAGAGCTGGCCTGTCAGGGGCCTCCCGCAACCCATTCCCAGGAGGCTCCTCCCAGGCCTCTGCCTGCCCCCTGTGGCCGGCGGGGCCACTCTGCTGCTCCCAGCTCTCCTCAGACTCCCTGAGAGGGCCCCTCCAAGTTCCCTCTGGGACTCTGGCAAGCCCCCGGCTGGGCTCCCCAAGTCCTTGCCAGCCCCCCAGGCCTGGGCCCTCCTGCTGGCTGCTGTACCCTCTCTCCAGACGTCTGTGAGGGCCCTGGGTTCCTGGAGGCCCCTCCTGACTCCGCCACCCCCCCAGAGGCTGTCTTGGGCCTGCCCGGCCACTTTCCAGAGGTCTCTCTGTCCGCCGCTCCCTCTCAGGGATCCTGGCTGATGTCCTTGGGGGCAGCGAGGTCCCCTGGAGCCGCCGGTCCCCTTCAGGCCGCCTCTTGGGGCTCCTGGGACGAGAGGGCTCTGCTTGACTCCACCGGGCTGGTTCTGCCTGCTTCGCAAGGGGCTTGGTTACCTGAGAATGAGGTGAGGGGCTCGGTGAGGCTCCAGGACCCTGACCGGGTGGCCTCTCTCTAGGACAGACTGGTCCTCACCAGGCCTGGGGAGAGGCAGTCTGTGTCTCCGCAGCAGCCTGGAGGACAGCAGGTCACAAAGCACCCAGGGTCCCTGATTTCCCTCCCTGGGGCGGGGGGGGTCAGCTCTTTCCTTTCACCCAGTCTCCTCACTTTCAGAAAGAGATCTTTAAAATGCTGCTTACTTTCCTGCTCCCCCACACCCCCCGGGCCAAGGTACTGATTCCGACCTGCGCTATCAGGTTCCGGAATTTTCACCACCAATACCCCACTCCACTGGGTCGGCCTTGCTCTCTAAGAGTTTCTTTAAAAATACGACTCGCCACCTTGGAAGAGAAAGCCCTTAAAGCTGGAATGACGCATCCAGAGCTTTCCCTGAAAATGTCTCAACATAGCAGGTGCCTAAGGAAGGAAGGCGACAACACAGAAGGGCAATCTTCAAAAGACTAACGTGGGGTCCTTCTCAATTTTGCCAAGAGCAAAATTGAGCTGGCTCTTTGGGAGAACAGGAAGCCGGATGCCCATGATGGGAACTCTGACCCTTTCATAAAGGACCTCCCCTCCCAAGACCCCTGCCTGGTCTCTGGGGGAGGGGAGAAGCAGTGGCCCATGTCTCAGGGGTGCAGGGGCCCCAGGGCAGACTGGCAGTGCTCACCTCCCTGCTGAGGGCAGGGCTGGACTGTCTTCGGAGAAGTTGGCTCTGACCTTGGCTGGGCCGCTGTGACCGCCCCTCGTCCCGGGCCTGGAAGGCCCCCGGTGCCTCGGACTTCCTATGAGCAAATGCAGCCGCCCCTCTGAGGGACCTTGGGGCTGTCCCACTCCCAGCATCCCTGCTCCTCTACTCCCACCCCCAATAGGAGGAGATGTGGGAGACTGGGGAGCCCCACCATGACCACATCGAAGGGCCCCAAGTAAGGGATGATCCTCTCAGGTTCTCAGTTTCCCTTTCTGAAAAATGAGGATGGTCGACCGCTCTAATCTATCTACCTTGGAGGGCAATGAAGTGGGGAAAAGTTTAAGTACAGGTGTTGGGGGGGCGCTTAGCCTTGGCCTCGACTGCCTCCTGTCTCACTTAATACTTCCTGTTTCTGACCACCACCCCACGAGCAGCCCACCACTCACCCCTAGACAAAGCTTAGACTGGACCTTGTGGGAATTAAGATTTATTGAGCATCTACTGTGTGCCAGGCACTGTGCACACATGATCATAACAGCAAACACTAACTGAGCACTTCCTATATTCCAGGTGCCAAGCCCTTGACCTTCCCAGTTTGTCCATGCACCCCATGAGGTGGGAGGAGAGATGTAGATAGTTATGTGCCCCCATATCCCATTCTTACTGCCCTTTTCCTGTCCACATGGTGAGTTTGGGATTTCCCAGGCCCGCCTTTCCTCCCGCTCCCTAACTAAGAGCGTTCTAGCATTTAGCCTTGAACACCCCAGGCCACCGTAGTTGCCGGTGAAAGAGCTCTGAGCAAGATCAGAAGGAAGAAACATCCTCTACATTCCCGGAAAGGCCAACATAAACTGTCCACGCAAATGTCACTTCTAAGACGCCTGGACTCCGGGCATTGTTGCCACATCCAACCTCTAAGCTGTAAAAAGTCCCTCGTTCCAGTTCATTGTCTTGCTTAATGGGTAGCCGTGAATCAGACCCATAGGGGCACCTGGGTGGCTCAGTGGGTTAAACATCTGCCTTCGGCTCAGGTCATGATCTCGGGGTCCTGGGATGGAGCCCTGCATCAGCCTCTGCACTCAGCGGGGAGTCCACTTCTCCCTCTCCTCTGCATCTTCCCCTGCTCATGCTCGCTCACTCTCGATCTCACGTAAATAAATAAATAAAATATTTTTTAAAACATCAAGTTTTTCTTTTGAGTTCTGAGCAGTAGACTCACAAGAAACCAAATTTCTCTCCCCTGGAGTTAAAGCTTCTGTGTTTGAGTGCTGCCTGATCCGCTTCCATTTTTAATCTATCTGAGACCAGGGGGGGTTCTTTGCTCTGCGAGATCTGAGGCCTCAGAGGGAGTTTTCCCCCGAACCAGATGTTGGAGGCTCCACAAAGCGAAAGCCCCAAACGTGACTCGGTTGGGGAGGAGAATAGAGAAAATCACTCGGTGCAGGGCGGACAGGAGAATGGGTGATCTTTCGAGTGGAAGCACTTGCCGCGGTATAAACTCCAGCTTGCCCGACCCTCATCCCTTCTGAAAAGTTTCCCCCATGTGGAATCGAGAGATAGGAAAAAAGGATTCAAGAACATTCTGAGAAGCCAAAGGAGAAGCCCGTCCCCTTGGGCTGCCTGTTCCTCAGTGTTGGTGTGGCAAAGGAAATATATTTCCTCTGGAGGTTTGGATGGGCTCTACTCTACGTAGAGGGGGTATTAAAAAACAAAAGGCAGGGCGCCTGGGTGGCTCAGTGGGTTAAAGCCTCTGCCTTCGGCTCAGGTCATGATCTCAGGGTCTTGGGATCGAGGCCCGCATCGGGCTCTCTGCTCAGTGGGGAGCCTGCTTCCCCCCCTCTCTCTATCTGCCTCCCTGCCTACTTGAGATTTCTGTCAAATAAATAAATAAAATCTTTTAGAAAGAACAAAAGGCATCAAATCTGGCAAATTCCATGAAGGTTCTGTTTTAAATTCAAGAGACTACAAAGTATTTATATGATGCTAAGATAAGGGATTCCAAAGGCATCTATGGGAGAAAAATGAAGCCATCAAGCCAAAACGCCTAATGCTTTAATGTGATAGCCCGTTAAGAGAAATTTTCCAGGCTCAGTTACGCAATGCTTAGACAGAGTAGATGCTCAATAAACACATGTTAAATGAATATATGGGAGAACATAAAAGCATGGTCCTCTAGCCACCCACTCAAAACTTTCAATCAGTCCCTTACAGATACTTAAATAGGTTTTAAAATTTCATCTTCAGACAGCAAATATTTTTCTATTTGGAAAAAGTGCCATACAAGAGAAAAAAAACTTTAAGTCTTCAGTAGAGTTATAAAGCCTTGGTTAAAAAGTAGATAGTTTACTTCACCAAAATGTAGACATGAAATATATGCAAATTTTCTTATCTATCAATTATACCACCATAAAGCTTTAAAAAGGTAAACAACTTTAAAAAGAGTAAAATAAAATGAATATAAGTACCTATGGAAAAATAATTAAGCGGTTAACAAGATTATAAACATATTCCTGACTTCTATTATAAACGCTTTCTCTCTCTCAAAGTTATCCCCATAAGAAAAAGAAAAAAAAAAAACGAGAAGAACATATAACTGTGGTTTAAAGACCTTTAGTGTACCTGCTGAATTATCAGATAAAATCGAAGATAAGCAAATTGATATTGGACCAAAAATAGTAATCATAAAAAGACCAAAGAAATGGGTTTTTTTAGGGCCGTTCAATATTCTGTGTAACAGCGTAACGGTGGATACATGTCATTCATTATACATTTGTCCAAATGCACAGAATGTGCCCCATCAGAAGGGAGTCCTGCTGTAAAGTATGGACTATGGGTAATAATGACGTGTCAGTGTAGGTTCAGGGTTTATAACAAACGCTCCACTCTGGCAGGGGCTGTTGTAGTCGGGGTTGGGGAGGGGGATGCTGCATGTACAGGTGGGATAGAGGCTGAATGGGAAATCTCTGTACTTTCGACTCAATTTTGCTATGAACCTAAAGCTGCCCTAAAAAAAATTAAAAATGTGTGTGTGTGTGCACGACAGCCAAACTATGGAAAGAACCCAGATGTCCACCAACAGATGAATGGATAAAGAAGATGTGGTAGATATATACAATGGAATACTACGTAGCCATCAAAAAAACACGAAATCTTGCCATTTGCAACAACGTGGATGGAACGAGAGGGTATTGTGCTAAGCGAAGTAAGTCAATCAGAGAAAGACAATTATATGATCTCTCTGATATGAGGAATTTGAGAGGCAGGGTGGAGGGTCGTGGCAGGTAGGGAGGGAAAAAATGAAACAAGATGGAACAAGGGAGGGAGACAAACCATAAGAGACTCTTAATCTCAGGAAACAAACTGAGGGTTGCTGGGGGCTGGGTAGGTAGGGAGAGGGTGGCTGGGTGATGGGTATTGGGGAGGGCGTGTGCTGTGGTGAGTGCTGTGAAATGTGTAAGCCTGATGATTCACAGACCTGTACCCCCGAAGCAAATAACACAGTATATATTAGTTAAAAAAATTCTTTAAAATGTGTGTGTATGTGTGTGTTTTTTTTAAGGCCAAAGAGAGAATTACATTAATGATGGAGACCCCACAGGTTGTCACCTGGGTAGTAGTAAATGGATAAAACTTACTGGAGAAGGAAATTTGAAGAATCAGAGGTAAAGTTGCTCTAGTAGATTCAAATCTAACAGAAAACATTGCCTCAAGGAAAACAGAAAATTTCTGGAATGCAAAATATGACCCGCTCCTGGGGTGGTGGAAAGTTCTCAAATGAGGTTTTGCGTGGCTACAAAACTCTGTCTCAGTCAATACACTATAATGCACTGAATTATACACCCTAAGTTTTGAGACTTCCAGACCTACTTTTTCGGGTTCTCTTAACCTTAACTCATGGAATTCCAGCCCCGGTTCTTGAAAACTCTTGACGCTGCAACTGCCAGAGAAAGGAATCTCAGCCAGATCGGGAGAAAATGTTTTCCCTCCCCACAGCTATGCCAAAGCCAGTGTTCTGGGTCATAAACCACCTGTGCGTCCCTGCTGACCAAGGACACTGCGGGATACATGGAAAGGACTTTGACACTGTTGCCATGTCCCACGGAAGTGACATGTAATTTCTACAAAATTTGTAATTCTGGGAGTTCTCTTATTTAAAATATGTGGCTTGGGGCGCCTGGGTGGCTCAGTAGTTAGACCTCTGCCTTCGGCTCAGGTCATGATCTCAGGGTCCTGGGATCGAGCCCCGCATTGGGCTCTCTGCTCAGCGGGGAGTCTGCTTCCTCCTCCCTCTCTCTGCCTGCCTCTCTCCCTACTTGTGATCTCTCTCTGTGTGTCAAATAAATAAATAAAATCTTAAAAAAAAAATGTGGCTTTGGCCATTCATTTTAAACTGACATCTCTGTTCTCTGAAGTTCAAGGTGACCCATGAGTTTTCTTGGTTAAAGCAGAAAAAAAAAGAAAAGAATTAAAAAAAAATTTTTTTTAAAGCAGAAAAAAATCACAAGTACTTCCTTTTCCCTCATGTAAGAAGGAAAAAAATAAATAAATAAACCTGTGATTCTGGATCAAAGAAAGGGTTTGAGAGTTTAACCTTTTTGAAATTACTGTACTAACATTCTCCCCATTTTACAGATGAGGAAACTGAGGCTCGGGGAGGTTAAATCACTTCACGAGGTCACATAGTTTGGGGAATGGGTTTGACCCAGGATTTGAACTCAGCCCACCTGACCCTGGTCTTTGCTCTTAACCACTAGGCTACACACAGTATCACTCGGTTGTCCAAAAAAACTCCTAAAATGTGGAAACAGATGAACTGACTTGCCCGAGGTCACACAGCCAGTCAGTGGCAGGGTGGGGGTCTGAACCCTTTCCATCAGCCAACCTAAGCCTGTGAAGCTTCCACCTGTCTTGCCACCGAGCCTCTTCCCCAGCCCACCTGGCTGGCCCCGCCCTGAGCTCACCTGCGCTCTTGCCCGAAGAGGCGCTCCACCTCTGCGCGGCCAGGGCTGCGGGTGCGGCCACCGTTGCTGCCCTGGGGCTCTGGCTCCCTCTGCGCCAGCCTCCTGGGCGGGGGCAGATCGGCCAGCATGGTGTACTCCTCCCTCTCCAGGTTGTGCCTGGTCTCCCCAGGGGCTGCTGAGCCCCGGGAGCCCCCTGAGCTGCCTGGTGGAGGTGACGGTGCCAGGAGTGCTAGGTCACTGGGGGGGTGGCGGGGTGGGGAGGAGGCTCGGGGCGCATCCCGGTGCCCGATGCACACTTGGGGAGGCAGCACGGGGGAGCCATGTAGAGAGTCAGTGGAGGGGGCCAGGCTCTCCATACTAGTCCCTGGGAGATCCTGAAAGAAGAGGGAGGGCTCAGGGGCCTGGCGTGGAGGGGATGAGAAAGAGGGCGCATCCCGGTGTCCGATGCACACGGGGGTGGGCACGTGGGGGGGCTCGTGCAGAGAGTCTGTGGAGGGGACGAGGCTCTCAGTGCTGGCCCTGGGAAGATCCTGGAATAACAGGAAGGGTTCTGGGGGCTGGCGTGGCGGAGAGGAGGCCCGGGGTGCATCCCGGTACCCAATACACACAGGTGGGGGGAACTGAGGAGGGTCGTGCTGGGTGGACTGAGTCTCAGTATCAGATGTGTCTGGGAGGAAGGGGAAGGGGTCAAACTGGGTGTGGCGGGGGGGTGAGGAAGCCCGGGGGGCATCCCGGTGTCCAATGCACACGGCTGGAGGTATGTAGGGGGGGTTGTGGTGGGGCAATTCACTCTCAGATGCATGGGGGTCTGGGAAGAAGGGGAATGGGTCATGTTGCAAGTAGCGAGGAGGTGAAGAAGCTCGAGGGGCATCCCGATGCCCAATACAGACCGAGCATGGAGGCTGGGAGGGCTCCAAAGAGGTCTGGGGTGCCCCGCGGGTAGCAGGGTACAGAGGTGAAGAGGTCCGGGAGGCACTGTGGGGGCCCGGGTTATGGAAGGAGGACACAGCCTGAGATGGCGAGCTGTGCTGGGCAGATCCGGAGGAGGACAGAGGTGGGTCGCGCTGAGCTGGCCTAGTGGGAGAGGAGGTCTGAGGAGGCCTGTCCCCTTGGGTTGGCCGAAGGGCAATGGAGGCCCAGGGAACCTCACTTTGCTTGGAGCGAGATGGGGAAGAGGTTCGGGGGCCTTCACTCTGGGTTGGGCGGAGGGGAAAGGAGGCCCAGGGGATGTCTTTGTTAGTACGATGGGGAGAAGAATTCCTGGGATTGTTCCGTTGAGCGGAGCGATGGGGAGATGATGGTCCAGGGTGGTCCCATTTTGTGCAGCATCGAGGGGAGGATGTTCCAGGGTTGTCCCGCTGAGAGGAAGACTGTGGATTGTCTCGTTGACTATAAGAGGTCCTAGGGTTGTTCTGTTGAATACAAGAAGCTTTGGGATTGTCCCGCTGGGTGGTTCGGTTGGGAGAGGAGCCTCTGGGATTGTCCCGCTGGGGACAGGGTGTCCGGGAGTTGTCCCGCTGGGTGGTTCGGTTGGGAGAGGAGCCTCTGGGATTGTCCCGCTGGGGACAGGGTGCCCGGGAGTTGTCCCGCTGGGTGGTTCGGTTGGGAGAGGAGCCTCTGGGATTGTCCCGCTGGGGACAGGGTGTCCGGGAGTTGTCCCGCTGGGTGCTTCGGTTGGGAGAGGAGCCTCTGGGATTGTCCCTCTGAGGAGTACACGTGGGAAAAGAAGTCTGAGTGTTGTCCTGTTGGACAGAAGAGGTTCTAGAATTGTCTTGTCTGGTGGTTCTGGTGGGAGAGGAAACTCGAAGGTTGCTTCGTTGGACGGAGGAGGTTCTGGGGTCATCCTGTTGGGCGATTCTTGAGGGAGAGGAGGCTCTGGGGGTGTTGTGCTGTGTGAAGGCGGTCCTGGGGATATCCTGTTGGGTGGGCGAGGTCCTGGGCTTGTCCCGTTGGGCGATTTGTGTGGGAGAGGAGGCTCGGGGGCTATCGACCTGTGTGGAAGCACTCTGGGCAGCATCCTTCTGGGCAGAACGATGGAGAGAGGAAGCCTGGGGGGTGGCACCGCGAGGTCCACCCGGCAGTGTCGTGCGGGAAGCCTGGGTTAGCGCCGACCGGTGCCGCTCCAGGAAGTGCCCACTTTCTCCCCGGAGCTTTGCCCAGTGCTGTCCGGCACTTCGGCTCCCACTGCAGGGATCTGGAGAGAGGAGAGGCTGGTTCAAGGTACAGGGAGGGGGTCTCACACACGACCCCTGGGACAGATCAGGACGGCAGAGCCCAGAGCCCCTTCTTAGAGGATCCACTGTCCAGGCCAAGTGACTCCACCCCTTGGAGCGATTTGATCGGAGAAAGCTCCAAGGCCTCTCTCAAGCTGAGGCTCAGAATTGGAAATGGAAACCCCGCCTGACTGGTCAGTGGGACGTAGGCTCCCAGAGCTGGAAGGGCACATAGACTGGGAGTCCCCGAAGCGGTCTGGACAATCGCCCACATGACCCGAGGGCGGGAGCGGTGGGTCTGGTGGCAGCTACCTAGCAACTTCCCTTTCCCTATCCTACTTCCTGCAAAGAGGTTCTGAGACCCCCCCCCCCAACATCTCTTCTAATGAGGCTCTATCATGTGTGATAGCTCTAGAAAGCTCCCATTCCTTAAACCCAGACAGGCTCCTGGCCCAGAGGCTCTTGGGGCTGCCATGAGCCTGGGGTGGGCTTTTGTGAACCTGTAGGCCTCACCTGGGAGTTTGCTAGAAATGCAGACTCTCAGGGCGCACCCCTGGGAGCACTGTGCAGGATCTACATTTTAATAAGATTCCGTGGTGATTTGCAAGCATATTACAGTGTAAGCAGCCCTGGTCGGAGAGATTACTCAACTGCCCTAAACAGGGACCCCTCCCAACTCCCATCCCCAGGGACAGACCACCATGACCTCAGTCCCCCTCCAGCCCTCTCAGTCTTTGGTCACCCAACATGGGGTGGTCCCCTAGCTGTGTGCATGTCCCTGAGCCAGAGCTTCAGGAGAGGAGTAAAGAGTACGGTGGCCTCCTCCAGAAGGAGCCACGACTGCTTTCATTAAAGGTCTTGCTTAAGGGGCCCCCGGGGGCCTCAGTGGGTTAAGCATCTGCCTTCGGCTCAGATCATGATCTCGGGCTCCTGGGATCAAGCCCCGTGTTGGGCTCCCTGCTTAGTGAGGAGTTTGCCTCTCTCCTTTCCTCTACCCTTCCCCCCGCCCCCTCAGCTTGGGCTAGCTCTCTCGCACGTTCTCTCTCCCTCGGATAAATAAATAAAATCTTAATAAAATAAAATAAAGGCCATGCTTAAGATGGCCTCCCTCCTGCTTGGAAAGCTCTGCTTCCTCTCGGCTTTCTGAGCTGCTGTCCCTGAAATCTGAATTTCTAGCACCTAGCAAGGAACCAGAACCAAGCACAGAGCAGCACTCCAGGTTCTCATTGTCGTCTGATGAGCTGATGCCCCATGTTGTTCCAAATCCTGTCCTCCTGGACTCCCCATCAACCACCTGCATCCCTTGCCTAGATGGTTGCTCTGGGGGCCCTGGGTCATTGTCCCGTTTAGGGAGATCCTTTCCAAAAGCAAACCCAGCTAGATCGCCCCTGCTTACAAGGAAGGACCAGAAAGCTATCAGACTGGAGGAGACTGGGAGACACGGTGTGTCCACGCAGTGGGATGGGAGCTCAGGACCACAGAGGGGTATTAGTGGGAAAGATGGGCGAAACCACATAAAGTTTATAGTTTAGACAGTGGTGCTCTATCGATGTTAATTTCTTAATTTTGGTAGTCGAACTTTGCTTTTGTAAGATGTCAACATTAGGCCAACCGGCAATGGGTATCATGGAAACTCTCTCCACTCTTCGCCACTCTGCTATAAATCCAAAATTATCTCTGAATCAGAGATGGCAAAAACATCAGGGCCTCCCAGCGGCATTTCAAAGAAAATCCAGGGATTTCCCATGGCCGGTGAGGCTCTGGCCACCCCGAAGGGCATCCCTGCTCCATCGGGGAGGCGCCTGCCTTCTCGTTTTCCACTGCGTCTCCCCAGCTGAAGGAAGTGCTGAGCCCGCTGGAAAGGCTCCATCCTCCTGTAGCGCCTGCCTGCCTCACCCTTTGAGGCAGGGCTGGCTGATCTGGGCTCCCACAACTCCCAAGGCCTCACCGCTGTGTCACCATCCTCCCCTTCTTCTTTGCCCGCCCATCTCGAGTGTCCCTTTCGGCCCAGCCCCCCCCAGGATCTGACTTCTGTCCCGCAGCGCTCCTATGTGCACACAGGGCAGGCTCTACAGATGTCCTGGGGCACCAAGTCCTGTGTCCTGTCCGCGGCCGGCGGGGCTCTGTGTAGCCTGTCCCTCCGAGGCTGCCTTTGATCAAGCAGGGCTCAGAGTGACAGTCCCCCTGCCCCCCGCACTGCCCTGCATGAAAAGCAAGAAAGCAGGTATTTCATACAAAATCCCAACTGCCTATTAGCCGCTCTCACTCCAGGGAGACATTTGGCTCCCTCTTTCCTCTGTGATCTTACTTCTTCCCACGCACCCTCTCCCCAGGGCCTGAGAGGGCTAGGCAGTGGGGGTGGGGCAGTGATAAGATCTGATTCATGCTTTTGTTTGTTTTTTTAGAGATAGAGAGAGAGGGAGCACACATGCATGTGAGCGGGGAAGGCGCAGAGGGAGAGAGAGAACCTCAGGCAGGCTCCATACTCAGCACGGAGCCCAATGCAGGGCTCGATCTCACGACCCTGAGATCATGACCTGAGCCAAAATCAAAACTCAGCTGTATAACCAACTGAGCCCCTCAAGCGTCCCTCATGTTTTTAAAGGTGGCTCCAACTGCTGTGGGAAATGGACCAAGAGGGCCAGGCAGAACCCGGAGGCTTGGAGGGGACTCTAGTGATAATCCCAGCAGGGGCACTGGTGGCTTGGCCAGGGAATACTTGTACAGGTGGCAAAAAGGGGATGGATTTGAGGTGTGCTCTGCAGGTGAAGCTAACCAGAGCTGCGGATTGAATACAAAGGTGAAGAAATAGAGAAATCGGGAGAACACAAGATTTGGGGCCTAAGTCGTCAGAATGGTGGTGACATGGAACAGACAACAGGAAAAACAGGTTTGGAGGGAGGGTCAGAGTGTGGGTACCCCCCCCTACATTAGCCTTCTCTCTCCCGCCGGACTCCCATGTTCCATGTGCTCCCATCACCCATACCAGGCTCACATTATGAGATGCTCACCCGGGTCATGGGCATCTCGGGGCTAGGCCTGCCCAGTGGCCTTTTCCTTTTCTCTGCAAACAATCCCCCTGATTTCCTGTAGGCAATCTCCTCCCCCACTCTATACCCACGTGGGCATAGGACCCACACTGGGTCCAGGGAAAACCCTACTGGGAAGACTGTACCCTCTTTCTTGGGAGATGATCTGTAGGTACGATATAGTCTGGTCCTGCTGGGGCTCATCATGCCACGACCAGAGGAAGGTCTGGCTGAGAATGAAGCCAAAGCAGAAGAAAACATAGCGGAGACCCGATTTCTCATACTATTTGAACACCTGGATCCAGCCATACCTGAAGTCACAGCCACCTAATTTTTTTACTTCTGTGAGTCATTTCATTTATCTTCAGTTGGTTTCTGTCAGTTGCAACCTGATCCTAACCAACCAGTTGTGAGATGATGTATTTAAAGCAGGTCACATGGCACACTGTGGCTGCTCCATAATTACATGGGGACTGTACTGTTGTTACTCAGGTCACCAAAGTAAGAAGTGCCGGAGGACCCAGATGGCCAGGGAGATCTGGCCAAGCCCTAGGCCATCACCACACCTGTGGTCACAGTGACCAAGCTGGCCTAGCCAGGACTCACCTTCCTTTCTCTGGCCTGCAGCATCCCCTCCCACGGGAGACCGGGTGAGGAGAGATGGAGCCCTTCGGGCACTGTCAGCTCTTGGCCCTTCCTGGGGCTTCCTCGGGATCATCACGGTGAGCTCGTCCCAGCTGGGGGCCTCCTCCTGCCTTCCAACAGTGTTCCAGTCCTGCAGGAGGGGGAAGGGAAGAGAAAGCGTGTTTGGAGCCCCTAGGACCTGCGCTCCCAGCAGGAGATAGGTAGATAAGGGGGAAGGCTTTGACATTGAAGAGCACCTGCTGTATACTCAGGACCCCTAGGGGCTCTTTGCTGAACTTAGCTAATCTTCCATCAACCCTTGAGGTAGGCATGTACATCAGAGCTAAGAACTTGCCCAAAGTCATGCAGCTGGGAAACGGTTTAGGGGGGAGGGAACTTGAACCCAGGGCATTTGGACTCCCTGCGGTAGAAAGGCATCCCCAGAGACATCCCCAGGGTGCACACAGAAGTGGGTTCAAAGCCTTGCTCCTCTGCTTCCCAGACACATGGCCTCAGGTAAGCTGCTTCCCTTCTCTGAGCCTCAGTTTTCTTGCCCTGGAATGGGGCCATGAAAGTCTCTACCCCAGAGCGGGTGGTGAGCCTTCTCAAGCCCACGCCTGCCATCCCATCACTTTCCCTCGGAGGTCTCACAGATAACCTGCCTCTCCTGCCCTGCGACAGCCCTTTGAGGTGCGAATACCCCAGGGAGTTCCCAAGTCTTCTCTTCTCCCAGCCAAATTGCCCCCAGCCTAGGCTCCCCAGCCTGCTCCGTCTCCTCTGTCTCCCAGAGATCTATGCCAGGGCAGGTCATGGAGCTCAGAGGTGTGTGGCCAGGACAAATCCCAGAACCAGTCTCATCCTCGCTCTGGCCAGCACGCCCAACATCCTGGCCGCTGTATTTGGCAGCCTGACCCCATTGGTGATTGACCTGGATCTCCCTGCCCATTGAAATTCCTTCAGTCTTTTCTTGGACGAGACCCCTGCCCCTCCCAGGCGGTTGGTCCTGGAGGCCTGAGGAGATGGCTAAGTCTCCAAAGGCCGTGGCCCAGTTCCCTGGTGTAAGAGGATTGTCTGGAGGTTTGGGTGGGGCCCCAGGGCTGGCACAGAGGGGCGACTTGCCCTCCCCAGCTCACCACGGAGGACGAGTCGCTGGTATCATCAGGGGTGTCGTGGTCAGGGCTGGAGCTGGTGCCAGAGTCAAGGCCTTCGTCAAAGCTGCCACCCAGGCAGGAGGCCAGACCCTCCAGAGAGGGTCCTGCCTCCAGTTCCTGGCTCTGGCTCCCGGAGGTGGCGGTGGGGACCTCTGCTGAGGACCCTGCTGACGGACCCCTGGGAGAAGAGACAGACCTATGACTTCTTCCCCAAAAAGTCATGGGAATTAGGGACCAATACCCCTAGCCAGGTACACACACACCTCACACTAGACCAAAGGAGGGAGCAAACACTCAGGCCTCGCTGTGCTGGGCTCTTCATTCAGACAGCCTCATTCAGTTGTAACAGTGTCCCTTTGAAATACGTGTCATGGCGCCCATTTTACAGATGAAGACACTGAGGCTCAGAGAGCTCAAGGGACTGGCCAAGGTCACAGAGCTAGGAAGGGGGAGAGCTACATGGTGAACCATGCCTGTGATACCAGAGCCAATCCTCTGTCACTGGAGCAGGAGTGGGACCCTCCACCCCCAACTCAGTAAAAGTGAGATGACAGGTGTACTGGGCTAATGGGGGGCTTCAGGAGGTAGCAGAGCTCCAGGGGTAATGACAGGGTCACCAGTCTGGATGCCAAGGGAGGGAGTGGCAAGAGAAAACCCTGCTTTAGAGAAGGCAGTCAGGATGGCCACAGGCCCAGGTAGGCTTACAGATGGCAGTGTCCCCAAAGAGTGACCCACGGGTCAACCTACAAGATGGAAAGGGATGACGGCCCTCAAAAAGAGGTCTGTGGTCAGATGAGTTTGGGACGTATGGCACACTTCTACCTCCCTACCCAAAAGCACAAGGCCTGCTAGCAAACTAAAGGTTCTGACAAGTCTTACAAGAAAGATATTAAAATTCGTTTATCCTGGACTTTCTGAAACATACTCAATAGCAGAGCTGGTTTCATTTTTTTTTTTTTTTAAGTAATACTTGTCTGTGAGGCATACATGTTCTCAAAGCAAAGCTGATTTGACTCAATTCCTCTTATTTGTTAAACAGGGAAACTGAGGCATTAAGGAGGGAATGACTTATTCCCTTAGGCCATCAGGAATGGAGCTGAGGCTGGAACCCAGGTTTCTGGGCCCTCAGCCATGCCCTCCCAAGGCACCGTGACTTCAGCTCAGCTCAGGCCTGGAGTGGAGGGAATCCCAGGGCCCAGAGCACCTCTCGGTCAGGCGCCCACCTGTTTGATCTTTTAAAGCTGTACCAAAGGAGCCAGGAAACGTGAGCGGGCCAGGGGCCTTGCCCCCTGAAGGGTGGGTGCTGGGCTGTTCCATTCCCAGAGCAAACTCAGCTAGGGCCTGAGGACCATGCCCACTGCCGGCCCATGCCCAGGTGGCGTGATCCAGCCATGTGACCCATGCCCGCGGCCGCCACCATCGCGAAAGGGTGAAGGGTGGCGTGGGTGAGGGCATCCTCCTCTAGGGAGCCCCTCCCCAAGCCCTGCGGCTCTACCTACCTCTGCAGCCCTGGCCCAAGGCCCGGGCCCACCACCGACGGGCAGCCGGAGGTTGAGGAACGGGGAGGGTCCTCAGAGGCAGGTGGGCGGCGAGGCAGGTCACAGTAAGGCGGCTCAGCACTGGGAGGGCTCCCAGGCTCCTGGGGCAGAGTTGGAGAGAGGAGGCAGTTCCTGGCCCACGTGGGGGTTCCCCTCCCCCTGCGCAGCCCCTCCCCCCAGCAGGCCACGGAGAAGAGTGTCCGGACATCTCCTCCTGGGATCTCAGGCTTCTCAAGGAGAGCTGTCCATCAGGCCGGCAGCGCCTCTGGGGACCCCAGCCGGGGGCTAGCAGAGGCACAGAGTGTGTGCAAGCACACGTGTTGTACAGGTAGGTGTGCGTAGAAAGGCCTGCGGGTGTGCAAATGTGCACACGTGCGTGTGTCTGCAAGGCGGCGGGGGAGCACGTTAATGCATGTGAGCTTATTTCTACATGTGTGTTGGTGCATGTGTGTGTGTGCCAGAGGGTGTGAAGGAAACAAAGGGGCCCAAACGGGTCTTCTGCATCTGGAAGACAAGGTCAAGGGCAGAGCATGAGGAGGAGGGGCGAAGCCCACCTGGAGAGCTCAGGAAAGGGTCTGAGGGAGAAAGAGGAAGTCTGAGGGGACGGGAAAGTAAGACCTCAGAAGGGGAGGTTGGCCCTGCTAGGGGATGCGGGGGACACAGGGGGCTCAGGGCAGGAGGGTCCAGGACCTGGGGTGGAGGTGGGGCCCTGAGTCGGTGGCCCTTCTCTCCCCTGCCCGCCCTCAGCCAGGCCACACCTGCAGAGGCACCTGCTGGGCTCACCCGGGGGGAACGGCGGCAGCTCACCTGCGGGAGGGCCCCCCCATTCCTCCCCACGTCGCCGGGGTGGCGGGCCCTCCCTGGTGGTGGGAGCCGGTGGCCGAGGCACCCTGCACCCCGCCTCATCTCAGGTTACCTGGGCGGCGGGCTCCGGCGGTGGCGGCTGGCGGCTGTCAGCACCCTCGTCCCCGGGGGGCTCCGGCTCAGGCCCCCACGCTGCCGCCCTCCCAGGCCCCAACTCTGGGCCGTGGCGGCAGCAGCCGAGGCAGCGGAAACCTTAGAGGGGGCCGGCTACGAGCAGGGGCCCCTCATTACTCTTTCATAAGCCGGGGCCCAGCCAAGAACAATGCGGGACATGAAACCACAGGAACATGATCCCCGCCGCTCACCTGAGAGCCCGGCGTGGGGTGCGGGGGGAGCCTGGGCACGGGCTCCCCAGGGACCCCGGAGCTCAGCGCTCAGGGCTGAGGCTACAGCCCAGCCACAGGGCAGGGTGGGCGCCGGTGCCCTGAGTTCCGAGAAAGCCCCTGTGAGCAAACCCCTGGATGGTGCCAAGGAGTGGGCTCAGGGTGTCTGCAGGGCCATCCAAGCCAAAGGAGGCCCGTGCGGGTTCAGTTTCGCCCCCTGCCCTGGAGCCAGATTCTGATCACAACTTGACAGTGGGAGGTGTCAGATCCACAGCCCAGCCTGGCGCCTTGGCCGCCCTGGGGACCTTGCCACATGAGCGAGGAAGCAGCTGGTTGGGTACCATCAAGGGGTCTGGCCCAGCTGGGCCCAAGCAGGACCCCCAGCCTGTCTCGGCACCTCCTGCCTGCTTCCACCCACAGCCCCCATCGCTGCCTATTGCCCGCCTGAGCGGGCCCCATTGCCAGTCCCTGGCTCTGATTTCCCGTCTGGCGGGTCAGCACGGGCTCTGGCCTCAGACAGACATCGGGCCCAATCCTGGCGCCTCCGCTTCCCAGCTGGGTGACCTCAGCCTGGTGGTTTCCCTCTCTGAGCCTGGTTTTCTCATTTCCAAAACTGGAATGATAAGAACGGCCACCTCCTAGGGATGTCAGGAGGATTAAATAGGTCAGTATTTGTGAAGGTCGTAGAACAGTGCCTGGTCTGCACATCTCCAATATAATAAATAATGTGAAGACATTACATACAATTTTATTAGTGTTAAATCAATAGAATGTTAAATACGTTTAAGAATAAATACATTGAAAGGGCTCCTGGGTGGTTCGATCCGTTGAGCATATCCCTCTTGGTTTGGGCTCAGGTCATGATCTCAGGGTCCTGGGATCGAACCCCCGGAAGAACCCCATGACAAGCCCCATGTCGGGCTACCAGCTCAGTGGGGAGTCTGCTTGGGATTCTCTCTCTCCCCCTCCCCCAGCTCATGCGCTCTCTCTCTCTCTCAAATTAATAAATAAATCTTAAAAAAAAAAAAAGAATAAATACATTGAAAAGGGATGTGTGGTGCCTGGCAGACAGCAGAACGCTCCCACCTAGCCCATTCTCCCTCTACAGATCCTGTCTGTGGTCTGGTCCGGGCTTCCTGATTTCCAGGGATAACCGCTCACCACCCTGGCCTGGGGGAGGCTCTGCGGAGAGCAGAGAAGGGAGGCATCCAGCACCCAGACTCCTAGGGGAGCTAGAGAAAGCCTCAGGGAGAGGGCTGCCCTGGGACCTGGGCCCACGTCTGCACATTCCTGGGTAGCATAATGCCTGGCACATTTTAGGCACCTGGTCCTTATGTGCGAACACACGAGCTGGCCTAAAGTCTCAGCCCGGACTGACACTAGAACTCAGACTGTCTGAATCCAAGTTTCTCCCAGTTCACACTTGGCGTCTCCCCACCCGCTGCAGAAGGGCACGGGCGTCAGAGACGGACTGGCGGGGCATGTTTCTCTGAACTTGGCACTGAGGGGAGAGAGCTATTCTTGGAGGGATCAGGACGTGTAGAAAATTCTCTCCCAGGTTTATTTTTTGGGTCGGGAAGGAGGAATAGAGGAAACTAACGTGTATTGAATTAGCCACATGTCCTTGGACTAAATGGTGCCACAGTGAGAAGGCTCTGTTGCCCCACTTCCCCTGTTAGGAGAGGGAAGCCAGAGACAGTAAAAACCAGGTCACACGGCTGGTAAATGGCAAACCTAGGACTGGGACTCTGGCTTGCCTGGCTCTGAAGCTAACAGGAACTTCCTTACGAAGCCCACTTCGTGGAGCCTAACGTCCTGCGTGGAGCTGCCTGCCAGGCTCAGGAGGAGCCTTGGGACCCGCTGGGAATGAGGGAGCCATGGGCGGGAGGGGGGGTGTCAAGCCTGAAGGGGTCCATGGAGACTCACACTCCCATGCTTCTCGTAGCTTCTGTACCAGGAGTTCTGAGTTTACACACAGTGGGGCTTGGCATAAGACCACGAGGATGGCAAAGTGAGAAAACCCCTCCCCTTTCACTCTTTCAGTACCTCTAGGGACAAGTCTCCCGTAGATGCTGGGGTACCTTTAATGCCTCCCTAACACCTACCAATCTCTCTTTTTATTTTTTTTTAAGGTTTTATTTATTTATTTGAGAGAGAGACAGTGAGAGAGAGCATGAGAGAGGAGAAGGTCAGAGGGAGAAGCAGACTCCCCGTGGAAACGCGAGTCCGATGAGGGACTCGATCCCAGGACTCCGGGACCATGACCAGAGCTGAAGGCAGTTGCTTAACCAACTGAGCCACCCAGGTGCCCCCAGTCTCTCTTTTTAAAGAGAGACCATGGGGCGCCTGGGTGGCTCAGTGGGTTAAAGCTTCTGCCTTTGGCTCAGGTCATGATCCCAGGGTCCTGGGATTGAGCCCCACATGGGGCTCTCTGCTTAGCAGGGAACCTGCCTCCTCCTCTCTCTCTCTCTGCCTGCCTCTTTGCCTACTTGTGATCTCTGTCTGTCAAATAAATAAATAAAATCTTAAAAAAAAAAAATAGAGACAGCAAGACTCAGGCTTAAAGCCTTCAGCTGACAACTCTCTCTCATTAGAATTTAATGATATTTTTTATTTTCTTCCTTTTCTTTCTTCCCTTTTCACCTTCTATATAAAGTATATGCTTCTAGTCTCCTATTTATGGTAATGACATAAAGTTTTGTTTTAGTATACATTTTTTTAAAGGGTGTTTATTGGGGCGCCTGGGTGGCTCAGTGGGTTAAAGCCTCTGCCTTCAGCTCAGGTCATGATCCCAGGATCCTGGGATCGAGCCCAGCATCGGGCTCCCTGCTCACTGGGGAGCCCGCTTCCCTTCCTCTCTCTCTGCCTGCCTCTCTGCCTACATGTGGTCTCTGTCAAATAAATAGATAAAATCTTAAAAAAAAAAAAAAAAGGAGTGGTGTGTATTTGAAGAATAATGAAATAAAGGGCGCCTGGGTGACTCAGTTGGTTAAACGATGGCCTTCAGCTCAGGTCATGATCCTGGAGTCCTGAGATCAAGTCCCACATCAGGCTCCCTGCTCAGCAGTGAGTCTGCTTCTCCCTCTGACCTTTCCCTTCTGAACTTTCCTCTCTCTCTCTCTCATTCTCTCTCTTTCAAATAAGTAAATAAAAATAAAATCTAAAAAAAAAAAGAATAATAAAATAAGTACTAGATTACATGAGGCCATGGCAAAAAATCGCAAAAGCAGGAGAATGACTTGCACTTGGGAAACACAACGTGGTCTCACCAGCTCATTGTACAGAGGGCAGAACCTCTTGGTTTGGTGTCTGTGTTCGGCGACAAGTTAGTGGCCCACCAGGCGCAGCCTGTCACAGACACCCTCATCCCAGACCACCACAACCACTCAGGAAAGCTGGCCTACCTCCTGCCTTGGTCTGTGGGCCTCCTCGGGGTGGAAGCAGCTTTGACAGCAGCTCTGGGCAAGCACGTTGGCCTCAGAGTGTTCACACGGGGCATTCCCAGTGTCTTCCTGCATATCGGTTAAGTCAGGCTTAAGTAGCTCCTGCGATCCTATGGGGGGACCTGGGAAGAATGGGGCGGGGGGAGAGGGCAAGGCCCAGGTAAGTGGCTGGCAGCGTCCCCAGAACCCAGCCTTAGCTGCCCCCAGACAGATAAGGACTAAGGAAATAAGGTTATCCATCCATTCATGTAGCTGTTCATTCATTCACTCGGTAAACACTCATTAAGCACCTACTATGCACCAGGCACTCTGCCAAGCACTTGCCCCGAGATTTCTAGTCATCACAGCAGTGCTGTTCAGAGTGTGTTCCAAGGACACTGCATTAGACTCAGCTGAGCTGCTCATAAAATGCTCGTTCCTAGAGCTCCTGGCGGGCTCAGTATGTAGAGCATGCAACTCTTGATCTGGGGGTTGTGAGTTTGAGCCCCACGTTGGGCAAAGAGATTACTTAAAAAAATAATAATAATAAAAATAAAAACATATTCCCAATTCCCTCCCCAGAGCCACCCAGTGAGAATCTCTTGAAGGTGAGGTCTGCGGTTGTGCATTTACAAGTTTCCCAGGAGATGTAATGCACCCCAAAGTTTGAGGGCCCTGGCCTCACAGTTACCCCACATTGTAGATAAAGTCAATGCCAATTTCAGACGAAGCAACTAAGGCTCACTGAGGGTCCACACCTTGCTCTAGGTTCCAGGGTCTGATCTGGATTCCAGCCCAGGTCTGTGTCCCTCCCCACCCTCTGGGAGGTGGAAATGAGGGGCACTGGATCACACCGCCAGTTTACACAGGTTCCTTGGGCAACGCTGGGAGTGAAGCAAAAGGCCAGCAGGTATTTTCAGAGTTGAGGACAAAGTCATGGTCAAAAGTGAACCACCTCAGGTCACACAGCAAGGAGGCAGCCCGGTTTAGCCAAAAAAGAAGCCCCGGTGTTCTGACTTGAGCACGGGGCCCTCCCATCTGGGTGAGGCCACTGAGGGCTCCGGGGGCATGTCCTGGGATGGGGGAGAAGGGGTAGACCCCAATAAAAGAGTGACTTGAAGATGCCTTCCTTGCTCACAGAGAGCCCCAGGAGGCGAGTGGTGCAGAAGACGAACCCATATTCCCAAACCCCAAGCACCCTGCGGTGCCCCCAGGTCATCTGCCCACACACCGGTCCTCACCTGGTGAGTTTCCTCCAAAGCATACCAGGACATAAGGCCTTGGTGGCCAATCTCAGCTGAGACCTGCGGAATTTCACATCCTCCCCTGGGGCAGCCAGGGCGAAGGTTCCCGGCTTCTCCACCATCAGACCTGGGGAGGTGGCAGGATCCAGTGTGTGTGTGTGTGTGTGTGTGTGTGTGTGTGAGAGAGAGAGAGAGAGAGAGAGAGGGGGGTACCCCCTGGCCCCTCGATCCTCCCTGGGCCATCATCTCCCCGCGCCGACCCTGCCCCAGCGGTGGAAGGGGGCGCGCACCGGTCCCGCCCAGCTTGGGCGGTTCTTTCCTGCTCCGACCACATAAAGGACCATCGCCTGAGACAGAGGGCGGCTCATTTCCCTGGGGGCTGTTGGGGGCTCTATTTCACGTGCCCCTCACTGCTCCCGCTTCCTCCTCCTCCTTATCCCCAACCAATTGGCAGAATCCTCTAAAATGCACATTAGGTGTGGCTGTAACAATGAAAAACCTTCGGCGGACACTCATGCCCCACCCGGAGAATGGACTCCTGGACCTCTCCAGCGGGTCACCCAGCCCCTCTCCGTATGCCTCGCCCCTCTACCTTACCCCCGTAGCGTCTTCTCCCCGCTCCCGTCCCCCTTTTCCGCGGCGCAGTACTACTGACCTCGGCTCGGGTTTCCACGCACAGGGGGTACCGGGGTGGGGTGCTGGGGTCACAGCTTCTATTTTAACAATGAATCAGAACGTTGCCCGGGAGGTGGACGAAGACCACTCCCCTGCCGCTCTTGCATAGGCTCGATCTAGGCACCTCGTTTACATAAAGGCTGCGGGATTGGACAACCCGAGGGCAAGGGGCGGGGCGGAGGCGGGCGGCGCCCAGATGCCTCTGAGCGCGGGACCGGCCGCACGTCTAGCCTAAGCCGCTGCTGGGTCAGGGCTCCCAGGGGACCATTTAGAGGGCTGGCAGTGATGGGCCTGGCTCCCTCTGATCTCTTTCCCGCCGGTGCATTCTCGATACAGTTCCCTGGACTGGCCTTACTCCAGATGTTGGGCTAGAGACTTAAATTCTCTGTGCCTCAGTTTTCCTATCTATAAAATGGGAAGAGTAGTAGTACCTGCCGGGATGACACGAAATGCCCAGGGGTTTTCAGCCTCCATTCGCTGCTTCCACTGACGCAGAACTCACTCACAAAATGCGCAACTCTCCTTTTTTTTTTTTTTTTTTTTAAATCTGCCCCCTTTTTAAGATAACATTTATTCTGACTATGTACTGGCCCCTGTTCCAAAGTCTTCACATTCATTAGGATACAGTAACCCAAAGAGTTAAGTACCAAGATCTTCATTTCACTACAACTAAGGGCAATTAACTTGCCAGGGTCATACAGCTAGTACGAGGCAGAGCCAAGACTAAAACCCTGGTGTGTCTGACTCCACTAGCCCCACAGAACATCTTCATTCACTAATTCACTCAGACTTTCACACGTATATCTGCTGGGCATTGGGGAGATGGCAACATGGATAAAATGTGCCTCCTGAGATGAGAACCCCACTGACCAGTGGAAGAGATAGCCCCTGAACAGGTCATCCTGGCCCAGGATGGAATGGGTTTAGTAGCAAGTTTAGTAGCAAGGATAATGAGCTGTTAGCTTGATCCCAGTTACCGTGAGCAAAACAGGAAGTAATGAGACCGAGATTTGGCATCTGGATCTAGCACTTCTTGGCTGTGTGATCTTGAGAAAGTTACTTGACCTCTCTGAGCCTGGTGTGAGTTAGACATTTGGTTTGAGTTTGAGGGCTGGGGCACTTTAGCCACATCCCCCCACCCTCTCGCCCCCACCAATCAGTAAAACCTGGAGCTAACCCAGGGTGGCCCTCCTGACGTTTCAATTCGTTAAATACTTACGGAGCCCCTACTTAGTTGTGTACTGAGGATACTTAGTGAACAAAAGATTGAATCTCGTGATTCTTTGGTGCTTACATTCTAGCAGAGACAAACAGACCCCCAAAAAGATGAAGATTTATTTATTTATTAGAGAGAGGGAGGGGGAGGAGGGGCTGAGGGAGAGAAAGAATCCTAAGCAGACTCCCCGCTGAGCAGGGAGCCCAGTACAATGTGGGGCTCTTCTCAGGGCTCCATCCCACGACCCTGAGATCAGGGCCCTAGCCTTGATCAAGAGTCAGGAACTCAACCCACTGAGCCGCCCAGGCGCCCCCATGCCAAACAAGATAAATAAGCAAGATGGAGTATGAAGGCTGGTGAGAGGTGCTAAGGAGAACCATGAAGCCAAGAAGAGGGGTGGAAGTGGCTGGTGTGGGGAGGGTATTATACTTGAAATAAGGTGGGCAGGGAAGGCCTCGCTGAGATGGTGACATCCGAGCAAAGCCTTGGGGGAGAGGGAGTGAGGCTGCCGGCCCTGGGGGATAGACAGTCTGGTGTAGGGGGACCGAGTGGTGAGGCTGGGGATGGGGAGATGGGAAGGGAAAAGTCAAGGACAAGCCAGGGGTTGTCCTGAGGGCTGCCCCTAGCTCTGGAGCTGCCTGGCTGGGCCCTGACGGCAGGAGGGGACAGCAGGCAGGTGGGCAGTAGCCATCAGACTGGAGGAGAGATGACTGGAAGGAGGCAGGAGGAGGGGGCCAGGGAGCTCCAGGGACTGTTGGAAGAGGTCGCCCTCTGGGGGTGGGGGGACAGTGGCTCTAAGAGTGGCTGAGGATAACAGTCCCTCCTTTTCCCCCAGGGGGCAAAGCTGGCCTCTCTGCATACAGAGTCGGGTTTCTCCCAATACCTCCCTGCGATGGGAAGGACGGCTGTCACCATCCGCGTCATGCAGCAGTGAAACTCACGGCCGAAGCAAGTTGCCCAAAGCTGCTCAGTTACTTGTTGACAGAGCCTGGTCTAAAAAACACACTCCCGGAGTCCTGTGGGGTGGCTCAGATGACTCAGGGTTAAGGACGCAAGGCAGCCAGGGCAGCGCGTCACGCTTGTCACCATTTATTCTGGTGACGCCACCGTCTTCTGCCCCCTGCAGGGTCTGCGCCTGTCTGCTCACCTCCACCTTTTCTCACGTTCTTCCCCGTGGCCAGGATTCGCGGGCGGGATGGTGGTGGCTGAACCATCACAAACACTTTCAGCCCCACTCCACCCCTCTGACCTCAGTTTCCTCCCAACCCACCTTGTCCACAGGCCTGTCGGAGGATCCCGCGCTGTGTGCGGGCCAGGTAGACACGCAGGAGCAGAAGCAAGAAGGCCTGAGTGTCTCACAGGGTCACCAGGGCTGACTCCAGTCCACGGCGACCCTGGGAAGTGGTGATCGGGTGCAGCCAGGCCTGCTGTTACTGAAGAAGCCAGAAACCCGAACTTCCGCATGAAATCACAACATCTGAAAATACGGCGAAGTCAACCTATTTTGGTTTTGGTTTTCGCCTCAAAAAATTGGGTAAACATTCAGAATCGTTCCCTTCCACAGAATTCTTCTTCTTCTATATTTTTAGATTTTATTTATATATTTGAGGAGAAATAGAGAGAGAGAGAACATGAGTAGGGGAAGGGGCAGAGGGAGAGGGAGAAACAGGCTCTCCACTGAGCAGGCAGCCCGACGTGGGGCTCGATCCCAGGACCCCGAGATCATGACCTGAGCCAAAGGCAGATGCTCAATGGACTGAGCCACCCAAGTGCCTCTAGTCAAGCTGTTTTTAAATACTCTGTGAGTCAAACCAAACTAATATTCAGGCCTTCTATCCTAGGCAGTGTCTCTGAAATGGTCAATCACAGATTTTTCATTCCCTTAGTGATAACTTAAATGCCACCCCCTCCAGGAAGTCCTCCCTGGCTTCCCCATCCTTAAGTAATGTCTCATTGCACTGAGCAGAGATCCTGTG